TCCTTCATGTCGAACTGGCACTTCTCCAGCTTGGCGTACAGCCTGTGCTCCTGCAGTCTCTGCAGAACTTCCTTGACGTCTCCCTCGTGGGTCTCCTCTGATTCTGAAAATATCAGGATGTCGTCCAGGAAGCAGACGCATTTCTTGTAGAGGAGACCCGCCAATACGTGATGCATGAAGGCTTGAAAACAGTGGGAGCCATTTTGTAATCCAAAGGGCATAACTCTGTATTCATAGGTGCCCAGGGGCGTGAACATGGCAGTCTTCCATTCGTCGCCCTCCCGTATGCGAATCAGGTTGTACGCCCCTCGCAGATCCAACTTTGTGAAACGCGTCCTTTCCTCACCGTTGCGAGCAGGTCATCTATCTTGGGCATGGGAAAGGCTGTGGGCTTGGTTTTCGAGTTCAAAATTCTATAGTCCACCACAAGCCTTTTTGGGGCGTGTCCTTCTTCTTCACAAAGAATACAGGACTGCCCCCCACTGCCTTCGACTCCCGGATGAAACCGCGCTTCAAGTTGAGGTCTATGAACTCCCTGAGTTCCTGCAGCTCGTCTTCGGACATGGAATACAGTTTCCCGGTTGGCAGCGTCGCCCCTGGCAGGAGGTCAATCTTGCAGTCATAAGACCTGTGGGGAGGTAGCTTGTCCGCTTCCTTCTCGCAGAAAACCTCCAAAAACGCTGCGTACTTGAGTGGCACTGCTTGCAGCGTGCCTAATTGTAGCTGCGGGTCATCCTCTTCCCCTTCCGGGCTAGGCAGAATGCAATGTTCCGCACAGTATGAGGAGCCGAAGGTCAGTTGTCGCTGGTACCACGCCAATGCTGGGCTGTGCCTGTGCAGCCAACTCATGCCTAATACTATAGGCGTGTCCGACAGTTGGGTGACATTGAAGCTGATGACTTCTCGGTGATTCCCAATTTGCATCACCATCGGAGGCGTTTGCTGCACCACCTGCCCCCAGCAATTCCCTGCCATCCACCGTGACAACTTTCAGAGGCAGCGTGGCTGGCAGGAGTGCTATGTTGTGCTCTTGAAGGAAATCCAGTCCTATGAAGTCTGCGTTACTACCAGAGTCAATGGTAATCGGCACTTCCATAGTGAGTCCATTGGGTAGTTGGAGCGATGCTGTGAGCTGCACCACTGGTTTGGGCGGGAGGGGTCTGTGGGCTGCAAAATCTCTGGGGACGGCTTCATTGACTTGTCTGGTTGGGCCCCAGTGCCTCTTCCTCCAACCAGACTCTGTCGTTTCCCTGCTGTGTTTCTCTCTGCTGAGTTGCTTCTGTTACTGTTGCTGAGGCTGCAGTGTGCTTGTGGAGCCTCTGGGGACACTCTTTCGCCATGTGCTGAGCACTGTCGCAGATGTAGCACTTCCTGTTCCCTCTAGGAGGCTTCGCTTTGACTGCTCCCGGTGTTAAGGCTCTGGTTGTTGACTGAGCCCTGGCGCCTCCAATCTCCATCGGTTGCTCTCCCCCTCCTTGCGGAGGTGGGGATTGCACACGCGCTGTATCCTTGGGAAAGAGGGAGGTGCTCTCACTGGCGTACGTCCCCAACGTCCTTCTTCTCTGTTCCATGGACGTTCTTCCAGACGCACCCCAATTTGCAGCGCCCGCCGGACAACCTCCTGAGTGCTCTTTGGTCTCTCCCCCCTTGCAATCTCATCTTTCACATTTGCATTCAAGCCTTCCCAAAAAGGTCTCTGACTGGGGCAGAATCCTTCTCCCATCCCAGCGCATGGACTAATGCAAAAAGCGGGAATGGTACTGCCTTACACTGGCTCTGCCTTGTTTGAGCCCATGTATGTCTTTTCTGGCGATATCAATGTCTATATTTGATAAAAACACGAATCCATCGCTTTAATGAATGCATCCGCATTTTGGAGCGCCGGATCCTTATCTCTCCACAGATTGCGCAGCCACGCTTTAGCTTCCCCATGCAAATGGGACAAGATAAACCCCACCTTCTCTTGCTCATCTCTAAAGTCTTTATCCAGCAGTTCCAGCGCAAACAGCACGTCTGCTCGGAAGTTAGGGTACTGCTGCAAATTCCCATCGAAATGAGATACCAGGCTGCCTCCTCTTTTCCCCAGCCCAATCCCCTCTGATTTGGGTCCCGGTTGCCCCTGCTTAGCAAGCACTTCCAACCTGGCTTGGAGATCCCTGCAGGCGGCAGCCGCTTCCTCTTCCCTTTTCCTGGATGCGAGTACCTCCGCGTTGAGTTGTGTCACTGCATTTTGCAGGGCTGCTAGTTGCTGTTCTGTAGTCATCTTGCCTGACTTTTGTGAGCTCGCAAAGCACCAATCTTCTTCCCTCGCTGCGTCCACTCACGTTACGAGGTTTTTGGTGCAAAACTTTAAGAGATGGAGCTTACTGTCAGAGCTGGCTCCAGGTCCCAGCTCACAGAGGACCAACGCTAGCCGGCAGTAATGTGCAAAGTCTTTATTGAAGTACAGTTTCCATTTTCAAGCCGGAGCGCCCCAGCTCTACGTCTAGGGGTTAGATCGGCGAAGCTCCATCTGAGTCTCCGCCCCCTGTACACCAGTTTAAGATTCTAGCCTTACTCCACCTCTTACGTCTCTCCTTTCTCCTCTGGGTCCTGCTACCCCCCGGGGTCCCTTCCTTCCTGGATTCTTCTGACGCTGACCCCCTGACTCCTCCCCCTCTTTTCGGCGGGCTTTGGGACCTGGCTCCCTATCCGGGCTGCCAACTGCGCCGCCCTCCTGTACATTTGAACTTGGCGCGCGCGCCCAGCCTTCAACCTTCCTCTCGACCGTTTCCTCGCTCCCCGATGGAGGCGTGGCCAATCCTGACTCATGTCCTCCCACTGGCAGTGCGCCGCCTGAGCCCGCTGCCTGGGACTCCTCCCCCCGACTGCACTCTGGTGTGGACGCTGGTCCTGATTTCCAACTGCTGCTCTCTGAGTCCCCTCTGGCCCCTTCTTCCTGGGGTGTCCCCCTCGGCACCCCCCTTGCTCTGACCAAGGGGCCCCTTTCTGTGAATCTTCCGATTCGCTGGAAAGACTCAGAGACCTCGGACCGCTGTCATCGCTAACATTTCCTTCGGACTCCTCCCCCTCGCTCTCTATTTCCTCCCTTTCCTGTGCCTCTGCTCCTGAACCCCTGACACCAACATAGGTAAAGGTAAAGGGACCCTTGACCGTTAGGTCCAGTCGCGAACAACTCTGGGGTTGCGGCGCTCATCTTGCTTTATTGGCTGAGGGAGCTGGCGTACAGCTTCTGGGTCATGTGGCCAGCATGACTAAGCCGCTTCTGGCAAACCAGAGCAGCACATGGAAATGCTGTTTACCTTCCCGCCGGAGCGGTACCTATCTATCTACTTGCACTTTGACGTGCTTTCAAACTGCTAGGTTGGCAGGAGCAGGGACTGAGCAACGGGAGCTCACCCAGTTGCGGGGATTTGAACCGCTGACCTTCTGATCGGCAAGTCCTAGACTCTGTGGTTTAACCCACAGCTCCACCCGCGTCCCAATTACCAACATAACAAAAGTTACAAACAATAAATAAAACACATCAAAAGGTACACAACCAAATGGAAAACAATTTCCACATAAATCATAATATCTCAAACTAAAAATACAACATTAATATCAATTACAATTTAAAATGGCATAGATAAAAAATAAAAACAATTTTAAAAAGGAGCCCTCTCTGTCGAGCAACAGCAGCAGCAGTCCTTTATGGAGCCTGTCAGGCCCCGGCCCAAGCCAGGTGGAGAGAGGCAGGGGATGGCCCCCTTGGGCTCCCAGCAGGCAGATCAGAGGGCCCCCAGCATGGTTGGTTGCAACGTGCTTTGTTTGTGTGCGTGATTTGGGGAGAGGAGGTTGCTGTGAGGTTAAGTTAGCCCAACTGAGCTCCCACATGCCTAACAACCTCAGTAAAAAAATTAGAATTTCGTGTTGGAAACATACCCTGGGAAGGCTGCCAACTTCCCAAGTGTCTCTCCGGTGGTCCTCTCTGGCTCTGGCTGTAAATCTCCCTCAGTCCAGAGAGACCAGTAATAAGTGACCCTTCTCTCCTGAGAAGTGCACGCTAGTCTTCTGGCATATCATAGCAGAAGAAAGACTCAGTCGTAGTTCTAAACTACAGTGGTACCTCGGGTTACATACGCTTCAGGTTACATATGCTTCAGGTTACAGACTCCACTAACCCAGAAATAGTGCTTCAGGTTAAGAACTTTGCTTTAGGATGAGAACAGAAATCATGCTCTGGTGGCACAGCGGCAGCAGGAGGCCCCATTAGCTAAAGTGGTGCTTCAGGTTAAGAACAGTTTCAGGTTAAGTACAGACCTCCAGAACGAATTAAGTACTTAACCCGAGGTACCACTGTACTTTATTTACAGGCTTATAATACAGAGACTCCATCAGTATGTGTGTGCTCTCTGAACACCAGTACAGAACTGCGACACAAACAGAAGTGACACTAACTTCCAACTAACTTCCAATAGTACTCAGACTTCCTGTCTCACGCTCACTCAGACACTCACATGATGTACACAAAACATAGTACCACTGCTAGAGCAGCTCGGATAGATAAAAATCCTAACATTTAGGTGCCTATGCACCTCCCTGAAAGCCTTTCCCTCTCCTCCCCTTTGCCAGGTGGTTTCATGGTGATGGCAGTCATAAGAACATAAGAGGATCCCTGCTGGATCAGACCAATGGCCCATCTGGTCCAGCCTCCTGTTCTCACAGTGGCCAAATGGGCACCTGGGGGAAACCTTCAAGCAGAATTTGACCTCAAGAGCAGTCTGCCCCACTGTGGCTTCCAGCAGCTGGCATCCAGAAGCGTCTTTGCCTCTGACCATGGAGGCAGAGTGTAGTCACGTTGGCCATCACAGCCATCACAATCACAGTGTTTTTCCTTTTAACTTTTGTTGACAGTGTGGGGCATAGTGTAAAGCAAAGGCCCACACAGTCATGCCTGCCAACCCATGTTCCCAAAAGTCCCGCATGGTTCCAGAGGCACAGCGCTCTGGGAGGCCAAGATGGCGGGCGTGACTGGCATAGATGGAGCTTTGCTGCACAGTGCACCCAGTGAAACAAGGAGCACGGCTTGGGCATGTTAGGTGAACGCCGACCGTTTAGCGCTTCTAATTCTGCTTCTTGCTCTTTTCCAGCTCTCCTTTATGCAACTATTTTTGGGAACGTCACCACAATTTTCCAACAGATGTACGCCAACACCAACCGCTACCATGAGATGCTGAACAATGTGAGAGATTTCTTAAAGTTGTACCAAGTCCCCAAAGGCCTTAGCGAACGAGTCATGGATTATATCGTCTCCACCTGGTCAATGTCCAAAGGGATCGACACAGAGAAGGTATGATATTTGTGCATTTGTGAGTGTGAGTGTGGTCACGTTAAGCCAATGTGCATTTTCAGAGCAGAAGGAGTGGTGTAACAATTCAGAATCCCATTCTTATTCATTAAATAATGTTACTATGATGCATACTTGTTTTTTTAAAAGGGTAGAATGGTCTGTGTTCTGTACACCCATGATAGCATGACACAATTGCAGTAATTGGCATTAAAATTAGTTGGCAACAGCCTGAGTTCGTTCGTTCGTTCGTTCCTTTTTTAAAAAATCGACTTTCTAGTCCTTAAGACTGAGAAGGTAAGCTTCAAAGTGTATGGGTAATATTTAGTAAAATCACAGTAGGATTTTCTCTAAAAAATTCCAGCAGCTGGTCGTGCAAAGGGGCTTCATATTTCGTTACTCCCTCCTTGACTGGCAAAAGCAGAATTATGGAAGATAAGCAAAGATATGCAAACTACTTAAGTGCATAATTAACTGGTACAGGTCGCAGCACCAATCATCTGATGGGCAGAGCAAACACACTTCAAAGGGACTCTCCCTCAGTGTTCATCAGCTGATTGGTGCTGAGAGCAAGCCCATTGGCTGCACTAGGGAGTTCCCATGCGATTGGCTGCACTAGGGAGTTCCATGCAGGAGGATGTGGTTTGGGGAAAACTGGTGTCATGGGTCCTATTAGGACACCACTTAGCCTAATTACGCTAGTGCTTGAGGTCCCCCACCATTGGGCTAATGAATAAATGTGAAAGTCAGACTGATTGGGGGGTTTTTTTGTTTTTTTTTACAAATGGGTACAAAATTCACTTAATGAAAATAAATGGGGCACTAAAGCAAAAGAGAGAGAAAAAGATATTGCATTCCCTAGTTTGTTGAACTTCTCAGGTACTGTTGCTTCTGCAAAAATTGTTACTGCATAGCAGAAGTTGGGTGGCGTTTGGTTCAGAACTCACTATACTGATCCTTTAAAAGAACAATCTCTCTTTAATATCCTGAATCCTTTTTCCTTTATCAAATTACTTTGCATATTTTTTCCTTTAGTGCCACTGCTTTGCTCCTGGTAGATATTAAGCCCTGCTTCTGGTTGTTTCTTCCTTCTTTGAAATATTGGATTTCATATATATTCTCTGTGGCCTTTCTAAGTATTGCCTTTTACTTCCCAGCTCCATGATGCTTAAACAAATACATCAGCGTATTTATCTTTTCTCAACCATTGGATAAGGTCGATAACTGCAGTGCAATATGTAGCAGGATTTTTCTTCTGCAAGTCTTGGGACCACAGGCCATTTGTAGTCAATGCCCTCCAAATGGACTACAACTCCCATCCCTTCCTGACCACTGCACTGGCCCTGCTGGCTGGGGCTGATGGGAGTTGTAGTCCCCGGCATCTGAAGAACATTGTGTTGGTTAGCCCTGCCATAAGCTCCTCCGCATCTGCAGTCAGTGGATGTCTCAAACAAGAAACTCATCTCGATCTGTGCAGTGGGATTTATTATATTATATAGCATTCTTTACCCCAGCCTCACCTGCTACATTGCAGGCAGTAATGTCTTCCGTTATGAGAAGTTTAATTCCCTCCTTTACAAACCAAATAAGAAAAGGAGTAGCGAAGAATTGTATATCCCTGGGGGGTGGAAGGGGGGTGGAGATGCTATATTTAAACCTTTGCAGCAAGGTTCCTATGGCGACAGAAAATGATAATCGTATGGGCACGTGAGGGTTTAAAAATAATGGCTGTCCAATACGTCACGGAGAAAGTGTGTCTTCTTAAAATAGCACCTGGCTGTACGTTTGTCCAGAGGCAAGAGAGTCGGCGTGTGAGTTTTCGGTTTAGACTAGGTAGACCTGCATTAGACTCAACACCTGAGCCAAATGGGATGCAGCCTTGTAGATGCTCTGATCTGTTTAAAACCTGTGCAAATAGGAGGGCAAAAGCCCTGTAACACCAGTTGAGGATACCAGGTGTGCTGTGTCTATGCAGCATCCTGCTTTAGTGTTGCAGGTTTGGCTCTTAGTCATAATACAGTAGCGGCCGGATTCTCAGAGACTGGTATTCAGACGTAAACTGCCTACAGCAGTGTAGGCAGCACATAGGCGTCAGGTTCTCTGCGTAGCAGGACACCTGGGTTTTCTTTGCGTGGCTGCAAATTGCGGGGTCTGGGTGAGATGCAAAGGGTAGGCATTTGGCAAGGGGGTTTGGGGTCTGGCAAGGGAGAGGGGGTAGGTGAGGGTGGCGAGCAGCAGCCCCTCATATATCTGTGCATTCTCAACAGGGATCTGCAGCTTATTCAGGCTCCTCAACAAGCATACATTGTTGTTGTTTAGTCGTTTAGTTGTGTCCGACTCTTCATAACCCCATGGACCAGAGCACGCCAGGCACTCCTGTCTTCCACTGCCTCCCACAGTTTGGTCAAACTCATGCTGGTTGCTTCGAGAACACTGTCCAACCATCTCGTCCTCTGTCGTCCCCTTCTCCTTGTGCCCTCCATCTTTCCCAACATCAGGGTCTTTTCCAGGGAGTCTTCTCTTCTCATGAGGTGGCCAAAGTCTTGGAGCCTCAGCTTCACGATCTGTCCTTCCAGTGAGCACTCAGGGCTGATTTCCTTCAGAATGGATAGGTTTGATCTTCTTGCAGTCCATGGGAAAACCATAGCTTTAACTATACGGATCTTTGTCGGCAAGGTGATGTCTCTGCTTTTTAAGATGCTGTCTAGGTTTGTCATCGCCTTTCTCCCAAGGAGCAGGCGTCTTTTAATTTCGTGGCTGCTGTCACCATCTGCAGTGATCATGGAGCCCAAGAAAGTAAAATCTCCCACTGCCTCCATTTCTTCCCCTTCTATTTGCCAGGAGGTGATGGGACCAGTGGCCATGATCTTCGTTTTTTGGATGTTGAGCTTCAGACCATATTTTGCGCTCTCCTCTTTCACCCTCATTAAAAGATTCTTTAATTCCTTCTCACTTTCTGCCATCAAGGTTGTGTCATCTGCATACATAGGAGGACTCAATTCTTTGCTAACAGATGCTGGCTGCATTCTCTTCCTTAAGTGTGCGCTTGACACGTCTTAAGAACGTAGTGCCTGAAGTGGCCCAGGCGAGTGCCAGAAAAGCACTCTTCAGATAAGATCTCTTAAGCGGCCATAATAATATTTACAGCAGTTCTTGGGAACGGGGGTGGGGTGGGGGAGAGGGGAATACTCATCTTGGATTTAAATTCCTTGGTTTTTAATTGAAACGCACTTGACAGCAGTTGAAAAATTAATGGGTTACACGGGAAAATAGGTCGTTACACAGAGAACTGCAAACAGTGGTTGCTCAGCCAACATTTTCAATTAAGGGAGCTCACTGCTAGCAACAAAACGTTACCAGATAAAGATTCTCCCACCCCTGCTTTGGGCTTCTTGATTGCTGTCAGGCAGGGGATGGGTCAGCAAACTTTTTCAGCAGGGGGGCTGGTCCGCTGTCCCTCAGACCTTGTGGGGGGGGCAGACTATATTTGGGGGGGAAATGAACGAATTCCTATGCCCCACAAATAACCCAGAGATGCATTTTAAATAAAAGGACACATTCTACTCATGTAAAAACACGCTGATTAAGGACCATCCGTGGGCTGAATTTAGAAGGCAATTGGGCCAGATCCGGCCCCCAGGCCTTAGTTTGCCTACCCATGCTGTCTGGCTTTGGTGATGCTAAGGTACATAAAGATGAAGGATGGACTTTTCTGAAAAGCTTGATGTGGAACACATCTCCAGGGTCTTTCACCTCCAATGCTCATCTTGCTCCTTAATTTACATGAGAAGTGAATCCACCCACATCCCTGGGTTCCACTAAAAATGTAAACAGTTTCTTGCGTACTACACATATCCCCCCCCCCCACATAGCATTAAATGCATATGTACATTAATGCACATATGCAATGTTGGTAAGATGCTTTGAGTTGCCTGCGGCAAAAAAGTGACTAATAAATTTAATCAATAAATGCTAATAAAATATTTGAGACCTCTCCCTAAAGCTGGTGGGCATTATCATTCAAATGGTGTGCCTGTGTTGCGTCTTGTGATCGTTTATATGTGGGTGGGGCTTATCTTTCCCCCCATATTTTATTCAAGTTGGCACCCTTGGGCAGTCACTAGTTCTCAGTCTAACTTACCTCGCTAGATTGTTGTGAGGATGAAACGGGGCGGGGGCGGGGAGAAGGGGGAAGAACCTTATATGACACCTTGTCCTCCCTGGCGGAAAGACGGGATATAAATGTAATAATAGATATAATTTGGGTTGCGGTTTCCATTACTTTCTCCCCTGCCCCCAATAAAAGTTTTCATTGATTTGCGCAATTAAAGAAGGCGAAAATACCTCTCTCCAGAAATACAGCAGTCTTGACAAGCTCTACGTGAGATTATTCCAATCAGATCTAGTCAAGCGGTTCATTAAACCAGGCTTTGTATATCGGGGTGCCATTTCAGGTTTCGCGTGGGAGCAAAGTGGTTTCAGCCTGTTCTTGGATCGACTCAGGATTAAATGGCATCAAACACCCTGGTATATTTTAAGAGCATTTATGGCTGCTCCTTTAATCTCAGAATGATTATATTGATGATATTCACACCCAACAGTTCTGAGCCTTTGAGGCGGGTAACCAGTATGCAACATCTGCAGTTTGCTTAAAGCACATTGGCATTGGGAAAGGAGACAGAAATGCTGGCTGTGTTCCCACAAAGAGCAGAGAAGATGCTAATTTGGGGCCTGCAAGCCCTCTAAGCGTCCCGATTTTCCAGGGATAATCCTGGAATTGCGAAAGCGCATCTAGGCTTCTGATTTGATCCTGGGAAGCCCCTATTTTCCCCATCAGTGCCGTCGCCAGCGGAGGATGAGCCGGCGCTGGCCCCAAGCAATGGTGATGGTGACCGATTTTGAAGGGGTCCACAATTTGCGGCACTCTGGATGCATACAACTGGACAAATGGGGACCTTATCCTATAGATGTGTGCAGATGTAGGGAACCTTTGGCTCTCCAGATGTGACAATTCCCATCAGCCCAGCAAGCATGGCCCATGGCTAGGGATGATGCGTGCTGTAGTTCTGCCACATCTGGAGGGCCAAAGGTTTCCCATCGCCTGGCATATAGCATGCCACATGGACATGGGCTCGTCTCCAATGGCTTTTGAGCACTTTCTAATCCTAGATCTCATGTGAAAGCAAACAGAGGATGCTGATAACAACAACAACAACAACAACAACAAATTTATAGCCTGCTCATCTGGCTGGGTTTCCCCAGCCACTCTGAGCAGCTTCCAACAAAAGATTAAAAATACATTAAGACATTAGTCATTAAAAGCTTCCCTAAACAGGGCTGCCTTCAGCTGTCTTCTAAACATGAGGTAGTTGTTTATTTCTTTGACATCTGATGGGAGGGCGTTCCACAGGGCGGGCACCACTACCGAGAAGGCCCTCTGCCTGGTTCCCTGTAACCTCACTTCTCGCAGTGAGGGAACCACCAGAAGGCCCTCAGCGCTGGACCTTATGTCCTTATTACTTGAGTCTTATGAAAATGTGCGTAAGCAGAACATATGAAGGTTACGGGCCTAATTTCAGCATGTCCTGCATTTAAAAAAAAAACAAAATAAAAAAAAACTGGCTTACAAACTTAGGAAGGATCAATTCCTATTCAAAAGAGACAGTGTCTGTTTTGCAACCCTGCTTTTAGCATGGCCAATTTTATGGGGCTTGAAAGGACAAACACTTTCAGGGGAGTTGCCTGGCATTAATTACGCTGCCCCCATCTCTCTCTCATTAACTGCATTTAACCAATTCTGTAGCATTTGCTAAGCCATCCAGAAGGCAGACGGTGGAGACAAAAGGAAATTGGGACAGGGCAAAGCCTTTTAGCAGAGGTTTGTCACTCTAGTACACAGCCCTAATCTACAAATGTCTTTGTGCTGGTCCTCCCAGCAAACCGTCCCACACCTTTCTTTTTATCTTCCCTCTTCCCTGCTGAGCTCTTTTCAGCTGCTCTGGAAGCTTATCTTAAACTGCCTGTGTTAAGAAAATGCCAGAGGAAAAGGCAAACAATATGAGATGCATCTCCTTGGGGATTTGAAGCTTGCTTTCTCAACAGAGGCAAAATGGTATCTCTTTTCCCCACCCCGCCATGGATTGTTTCCAGGTTTTCCTCCAACTACCACACACGTATTGATCCATTTAGTCAAAGTGCATTTACCAAAGCCTTAAAATCGTCGTATGTACTAATAACAAACTCGGCCTGTTTAGAAGGAAAATGAGGCCACTCCATAATAAGGTAGCATTTCCCCCCACTATACACACAGGGGACTTCTGAGTCGAATGGATCTCTCTCTTATATAGAGAGATAGGTAGCTATAAAAGAGGGACAAGGTAGACAAACAGAATACAACAATCAATTGCTACTAGTTATGATGGTTGTGTACTTCCACCAAGATCTAGGGGTGGGTGGATCTGTCATCCTTGTCCCCCCCCCCCCCCCGTTTCTCATTTTATCAATCTATAATTCACTTTGAGAGCTGGACCATAAAGAAGGCTGATCGCCAAAGAATGGATGCTTTTGAATTATGGTGCTGGAGGAGACTCTTGAGAGTCCCATGGACTGCAAGAAGATCAAACCTCTCCATTCTGAAGGAAATCAGCCCTGAGTGCTCACTGGAAGGACAGATCCTGAAGCTGAGGCTCCAATACTTTGGCCACCTCATGAGAAGAGAAGACTCCCTGGAAAAGACCCTGATGTTGGGAAAGATGGAGGGCACAAGGAGAAGGGGACGACAGAGGACGAGATGGTTGGATAGTGTTTTTGAAGCTACGAACATGAGTTTGACCAAACTGCGGGAGGCAGTGGAAGACAGGAGTGCCTGGCGTGCTCTGGTCCAGGGGGTCACGAAGAGTCAGACACGACTAAACGACTAAACAACAACAACAATTCACTTCTCTGTGTTTCTGCAGTAATTTGCGATTATTATTGTTATTATTTCAAAACTCCCATGAAAATTCATCCGCAGTTCATTGCAAATGTCTCCTAATTAACACTTTTTACTAACGTGCACATTTTTGCAATCAGTTCCCCCTAGCATAATGCATCGCTGCCTATTATTTCCACTAATATCCTCACCCTTTCCCTATACCTACACTTTTTTTTTTGGTCTGAGAACTGTATTGCAAAATTCAAAGAAGTGTGAATTGCAAAGTATGGCTGTGTTTCGATCCTCGTCTTCTTTTGGAAAGTATGATTTAGGTAGGTTCGCCTTTAAACACAAGCTGAATCGGATTTCTTCACCATCCTTTGCAGGTTCAGAGGCATCAATCCCTGGCCGTCATGAGCAGGAAAAAGCTATTGCGATTCTGCTCTGCTTCTGGTTTCACATTAGGCACCTGATTATCTGCTGGGGGTAGGTGGGATTCTGAACTAGAAAGGCTGTTGATCTGATCTGTCAGGGCTCTTACTGTTTTTCTTGTGATAGCTCTGGGGATGAGGTTTCCACCACCTTCAGAGCGGCTTATATTTTGCACATTTTCTGCATGTACAAGGTACAGTCACTGACTATGATCATTGTGCTTCAGATTTGTTACATGACAGCCTTTTTGATAGCCTCAATAACTGGTCTTTGAAAACCATGCACTCCTAGTCTTCTGGAATCGAGCAGCGAAGGAGCAAAGGCAGTAGCCGACTCGTTGTTGGTTGTTGCGATGAAATAGGATTCCACTGGGTGAAAAGAGACGTCATGCCGCATGCTTAATTCTGTAATTTAGTAGAAAGCTAATAACACCCCGGGTTGGGGAGAGCATCTATCCAATACCCAGACATTTATGTGGTTCTTCAGTGGCGAAACAACTGCAGAGAGCAATAGAGTGGTTAAAGACAGCATCTTTCACTGGGTCAACCCCAGGGATGCTGAGAGGCGTCCTTTCGAAAACAATATCATTCACAGTTCACATTATCCACGTTATTAGCTGATAATGTATAGGATAGAAAGGCTAAGAGGAATCAAAACAGGATTTTCTGGTTTTCTTTGAAGCAAGAGCACAGTGGTTTTGTGTCCTACTTTAAGGAGGACATCTCTCTATTTGAAAGTGCTGTCTGTTTGAAGGCATACCCAGTCCATGTCTGGTTTAAAGATAAGGAATTTAGTGAGTGGCGATTGAGGCTGTGAATCTACACAAGGAATAGCTGGACCATAGACCGAGCAGGTCACCTGGTTACAGCCTATCCCACTAGGATGTGATGCTATTATTATTATTATTATTATTATTATTATTATTATTATTATTACAATTTCCATACCGCCCTTTAGCCAAAGATCATAGGGGGGGTTACAATTTAGAAAGAAAAAGATATATAACATAGTAACAAACCAAAACAATACCCCGCCCCCAGTTTAAAAGGCCATAGATTGTTTAATTAGCCAAAGGCCTGAGAGAAGAGATATGCAATGAAGGCACCAGGCGAGGTTCCCTGGGGAGAGCATTCCACAAGCAATGAGCCACCACAGAAAAAGCCCGTTTTTGTATTCCTGCTGTCCGGACTTCTCAGGAAGGAGGCACAGATGAGAAGAAGGGCCTCAGATGATTTTTTCAGGGTCCAGGTAGGTCAGGCATAGGCAAGCTCCGGCCCTCCAGATGTTTGGGACTACAATTCCCATCATCCCTGACCACTGGTCCTGTTAGCTAGGGATGATGGGAATTGTAGTCCCAAACATCTGGAGGGCCGGAGTTTGCCTATGCCTGAGGTAGGTTCATATGGGGGGGGGGAGCGGTGCTTGAGATCTTGTGGTCCTGAGCCCTTTAAGGCTTTATAGATCAAAACCAGCACTTTGAGTTGGGACCAGCCAGTGCAATCAGGCCAGGATTGCTGTTATATGCTCAAACCATCTAACCCCGGTGAGCAGCCTGGCCGTCAGATTCTGCACAAGCTGGAGTTTCTAAACTGTCTTCAGATGCAGCCCCATATAGTAAAGGTAAAGGGACCCCTGACCATTAGATCCAGTCATGGCCAACTCTGGGGTTGCGGTGCTCATGTCGCTTTATTGGCCGAGGGAGCCAGCGTACAGCTTCCAGGTCATGTGGCCAGCATGACTAAGCCACTTCTGGCAAACCAGAGCAGCGCACGGAAACGCCGTTTACCTTCCCGCCGGAGTGGTACCTATTTATCTACTTGCGCTTTGACGTGCTTTCGAACTGCTAGGTTGGCAGGAACAGAGACCAAGCAACGGGAGCTCACCCCATCGCGGGGATTCGAACCGCTGACCTTCTGATCGGCAAGCCCTAGGTTCTGTGGTTTGACCCACAGCGCCACCCGCGTCTCTAGAGCATTGGTAGGTGTATCTAAAATTCACAGCATAGATGGGGAACTTGTGGTCCTTCAAATACAGTGGTATCTTGGTTCTCGAACGTAATCCGTTCTGGAAGTCCATTCGACTTCTGAAACATTCGAAAGCCAAGGCACGGCTTCCGATTGGCGCAGGCGCCCCGGAAACAATAGCCGACAACCGCATCGGGCATTCGGCTTCCAAAAAAAGTTCGCAAACCAAGGCATTTACTTACGGGTTTGCGGTGTTCGGGTTCCGATTTGTTCCTCAACTAAGCCGTTTGAGAACCAAGGTTCCACTGCATTACAAGACCATAGCACCCATCATGGATGACTACTGGCCATGATTTCCTGGTACTGATGGGAGCCAGAGTCCAAGAACACCCAGAAGGTTACATTTTCTCCTTCCTGGATTAGATAGTGGGAAGAACTTGGTGAAGTTGTCCCTTGCGTTGGGTCTGCACCCTCTTAGGTTGCTGGCAGGAATGCACATAGCTCTGAACTGCTCCCCCAATGAGACAGATTTTCCCCATGCTGAAAACTAAGGAGAAGGCTAGGCTAGCATCCCAGCCTATGCAGAGAGTTCAAAGTATGTGTGATTCCCCTGGAGTATATTGAATAACCCAGATCATCCCAGCCCAACTGTAATGTTCACTCTACTCCACTCCACGCCACTGGTTATGTGAAAGGAGGATCCGGGGTTCAGAGTCCTTGCCTTTTTAATTGAAGCATACACTGTTTTCCACTTATCTCTCCTGCTCCCTTTTGAAAAGCCAAATCCATTTCCAAAAACGGCATTTTTTTAAAAAATCAAGCACATATCCTGGGGCTAGGCCTTTGTTCCCTTGTTCTTTAGAGGGGCCACCTCTCTTTCTCTGCGTCTTCAGTTGGAGATGGTTTAAGGCTGGCTGCGCAAATAGAACCTTTTTGGCTTGTAACTTCGGTTAATTACTGGATTCTTCCTGATGGATTTAGCTGGCTTTTTTTCTTTGGCGCAGTGGAGGTCTCGCCTCCCCAACTGCTGGAGAACATGATGAAAGTGCCACTATTGTATCTACAAAAAGGAACGCCGTTTGCAGTGATGACACTACTAAGATATCTGAGCACATCAGGATTCTTCCCTGCGCATTCATGCGCTCTCTCTCTCTCTCTCTCTCTCTCAACACACTAGAGCTCTTTATGGGAGCATGAAAAGGATAACAAGAGCTGTTAACGGCCTTTCTTCAGTGATATTTTACAATATAATCCTAAATGCACTTCTCAGGGAGTAAGACAGCAATGCATTGCCCTTTGTGCAGGGCTGGGGTTTGACTGGGTGGAGTTGTCCCTCTGCCAGCCTTGCCAGCCTGTGTTGACAATCCCACAGACCACCGCCTGTGGAGAGATGCCAATCTCATTCCACCGTCATTGACCTCCTGTTTCCTTCTGCCAAATGGGCAGGTGGAAATACAGTCATACCTCGGGTTACAGACGCTTCGGGTTGCGCGATTTTGGGTTGCGCACTGCACTGAACCTGGAAGTACCAGGACTGGTTACTTCCGGGTTTTGGTGCTTGCGCATGTGCAGAAGCACCGAACTGCGACCCTTGTGTGCACACATGCAGTGCTGCGGGTTGTGAACGCTGCGGGTTGTGAACGTGCTTCCCACATGGATCACGTTCGCAACCCGAGAGTCTACTGTAGAATCATAGAATCGTAGAGTTGGAAGGGACCTCAAGGGTCCAATAGTCCAACCCCCCACAATGCAGGAATCTCAGCTAAAGCATCCATGATAGATGGCCACCCAACCTCTGTTTATAAACCTCCAAGGAAGGAGAGTCCACAACCTCCCGAGGGAGACCGTTCCACTGTCAAACAGCTCTTACTGTCAGAAAGTTCTTCCCGATGTTTAGTCGGATTCTCCTTTCTTGTAACTTGAAGCCGTTGGTTCGAGTCCAACTCTCCAGAGCAGGAGAAAACAGGCTAGTGCTGGTTTTCTGTGGCTTTCCAGGGGTGAGGAGGGCATGGGGCTGAGCTGACCCCACTGCTGCCACATAGTGGCTCTGGGCTCAATCTCTGTGCCAGAGATTCCACCATGTGTGGAAGGGGTGAAGTTTAAGTGGTGGCCCCACAGCTCAATAAAGCCCCAAGGTAGGACAGCTTTATTGGTTCTCACCCTCAGTGAGCCATGTTTGGGATCGTTCTCTAAGCCCCACGGGACTTGGTGAGGCTTACTTTATACTGGGCTGGAAGAATCCCAGAAATAATAATAATAATAATAATAATAATAATATATAATTTATACCCCGCCCATCTGGCTGGGTTTCCCCAGCCACTCTGGGAGGCTTCCAACAGAATATTAAAGTACAATAATCTATTAAACATTAAAAACTTCCATAAACAGTAACCAATTAATTTTATTCCAAATATCACTTTCCTGTTCCATTGTACCTTCTACTCCCCAACTATTCTCCATCTCCTCAATTGAGATCTCCTTTAATTTATCCCCTACCTCCTTTGGGATGAGCTCCCTTAACGGAGCCATTTTATCATAATACCTCATTTTGGTAAGGGGAGAGAGATCAGGAAAAAGCTCCCTTCTCCACTTCTCCCATACTCAGATGGACCCCATAAATGTTGATATTTTATCTACTCCCCTTTTCCTTTTCCTCCTATCAAATATTTGTAGAATAGGAACCACAACTAAAGAATCCCTGACAGATGGCCATCCAACCTCTGCTTAAAAACCTCCAGTGAAGGAGAGTACATGATCCTCCAAGGGAGTCTGTTCCACTGCCAAACAACTCTTACCCTTGTTTAAATTGTGAAATATGGATGACTTTGGAAGATGGGGTTTGGATTGAATAGCTACTAACACCCTCTTCGGGCACTGTGCACGAGATTTTAAATCAGGGGTCGCCAACATGGGGTGCAGAGGCATCTCTGTGTTAGAATTCCTGCTCCATGATTGAAGTCATGGGATTTTTGTCTTTCACATGACGGTATATGTTTTGACTCCACTGAGTGGGAAGTGACAGAGACAGGATGTTTGTGTTACTGTCTTCCGTGAAGTGGGACTATTGTCCTTTGTTCTTTTTCTCTTTGCTGTTTGATGCTAGAGAGGGAGCCATGTTGCAATGCTCCGTGTGTGTTTATATGTAAATAAAGTAGATTAGCCAAAATGCTGAGTTGCTGAGGTGTGTTATGCAACTGCACAAACTCTAAGGATCCCCAAGTGTGCCGGTGTCAGTTGGCATCGGTCGCTGTGATGTTCGGGCAGAAGAAAGCTTTTGAAGCTCCTGAACGATCGACCAGGAGGGAGGGAACATGCCAGTCGGCCATGTGTCTCTGCCAGGGTCCTACTCGAGTGTATGCTGAACTCCTGACACTGTGCACCCTTAGAGGGTATATTCACCCATCCCTAGCCGTGTCTCACCCCATCCCAGATGGCAAATTTTAATAACCGATATCAACATGTGCAGAGCTTAACCCACCGAGAACATCGAAAGAGAGTTCTTGATTTGCTAAAAGGTTTCTGTTTGATTAGATTTCATGTTTATAGACTCCCCGTACGAATGGCATTAGGGTAAAGTGATAAATCAAAGATAAACGAGCCTGTAGTCTTGTCTTCAGGAAGCCAAATGTGGGGAAGAGATTGGTGATAAGGGCGCAGTGTGAAGACATGTGAAGCTAAGTAAGCAGGTCTGGAACAAAGGCTTGTGCTCAAGTATTTCTTCTGCCATGAATTCCATGGCGTGAATTTCATTGCCATAAAGGCAAGGTAGTGTAGTGGTTAGAGAGCTGGACTGTGACCTTGGAGACCAGGGTTTGAACCCCAACTCAGCCATGAAATTCATTGGGTGCCCTTGGACAAGTCACTACCTCTCAGCCTAGCCTACCTCTCAGGGTTGTTTTGAGGATAAAACAGGTGTGTGGGTGTGTGTGAGAGCCAGTGTGGTGTAGTGGTTAAGAGCGGTAGACTCGTAATCTGGTGAACTGGGTTCGCGTCCCTGCTCCTCCACATGCAGCTGCTGGGTGACCTTGGGCCAGTCACACTTCTCTGAAGTCTCTCAGCCCCACTCACCTCACAGAGTGTTTGTTGTGGGGGAGGAAGGGAAAGGAGATTGTTGGCCGCTTTGAGACTCCTTAGGGTAGTGATAAGGCGGGATATCAAATCCAAACTCTTCTTCTTCTTCTTCTTCTGTGTGTGGGTGTGTAAAGTATATATGTCACATTGAGCCCCTGGGAGGAAAAGTAGGATATAAATGTAATAAACAGTAATTCTTATAAATATAATATAATATTATTATAGTATATTTAATTATATAATAATAACATAACTATAATACTGATTATTGTATTATAATCATATTGTATTATAATAATACAATAATATAAATATAATAATCTTTATTCACGAGTTGGCCTGAGGCAATCTACTTCTGCCAGCCTCAGTCTCCATATATGCAATATGGGTACAGTAATATGGGCCTACAGCACAGGTGTGATGTTGCTAAAAATATGTTGGCGAAACTCTTTGAATGGTGTAGGGCACTATATATACCTAAAGGAGAGTCTCCAACCCCATTGTTCAGCGCAGACACTGAGTCCAGCTCTGAGGGCCTTCTGGCGGTTCCTTCACTGCGAGAAGTGAGGTTACAGGGAACCAGGCACAGAGCCTTCTCGGTAGTGGCGCCCTCCCTGTGGAACACCCTCCCGTCAGATGTCAAGGAAATAAACAGCTATTTGACTTTTAGAAGACATCTGAAGGCAGCCCTGTTTAGGGAAGTTGTTAATGTTTGATGGTTTGTTGTGCTTTTAATTCTGTTGGGAGCCACCCAGAGTGGCTGGGAAACCCAGCCAGATGGGCGGGGGTATAAATTATTATTATGATTATGATTATGATTATGATTATGATTATGATTATTATCAATCACGGATGGGGAATCTCCACCCCATCCAATATTGGCTTTTCCTTTTTCCTGTCACTGCCATGTTTCCACTCTTTCCCCAGGTCCTTTCGATTTGCCCCAAAGACATGAGAGCAGATATCTGTGTACATCTCAACCGGAAAGTTTTCAACGAGCACCCGGCCTTTCGGCTAGCTAGCGACGGATGCTTGCGGGCCCTGGCAGTGGAGTTCCAGACAATCCACTGTGCCCCCGGAGACCTCATCTACCATGCGGGGGAAAGCGTGGACGCCCTCTGCTTCGTCGTCTCGGGATCCCTGGAAGTCATACAGGATGATGAGGTGGTGGCTATTTTAGGTAGGGCGGTTTCCTTTTCATCATCCCTTTTCAGTGGAAGCGCTTCACCACAGTGTGAAACCCGCTCCTGCGCAAGCCAACGGTGGCCGCCATCTTGGATGGCTTCAAAAGAGGATTGGACAAATTGTTGAAGGGTAGGGCTATTGATGGCTGCCATACCCAGTGCTGGATTTACATATAGGCTAAACACATAGCTGTCAACTTTTCCCTTTTCTTCCGAGGAATCCTATTCGGAATAAGGGAATTTCCCTTTAAAAAAGGGAAACGTTGACAACTATGGCTAAACAAGCTATAGCTTAGGGCTCCACTCTCTTGGGGGGGGGCAAAAAAATTAAAGGGAAAAAAACTGGATGTACATTTCCAAAATATAAGATAAAAAACAAATAAAATAAACCTATATACAGCAACAATGTTTGTGTTCTGTAGGCTCCTATGATGTAAGTAATGGGCCCCACCTGCTAGCCTGCTCCCTAAATTATCACTGGTTTGCTCATTTCTATATCAATTACTTCGATAAAATACATACAGTGGTACCTCAGGTTACAGACTCCGCTAACCCAGAAATAGTACCTCGGGTTAAGAACTTTGCTTCAGGATGAGAACAGAAATTGTGCTCTGGCGGCACAGCGGCAGCAGGAGGCCCCATTAGCTAAAGTGGTTCTTCAGGTTAAGAACAGTTTCAGGTTAAGAACGGACCTTCGGAACGAATTAAGTACTTAACCTGAGGTACCACTGTATTTTGTTACTTGCAAATGGCTTTAGATACCCATTAGGTCCATAAATTACCATATAGCATATGTTCAACACAAAAAACAGCCACAATTTGTTGTTGACAAAGGACAGCTGGACATATAAAGGGCCCCATTACCTTCAGTAGCTTAGGGCCTCATCAAACCTAAATCCGGCCCTGGCCATACTGTCCAACTTTTGGAGACTCAAACCAAGATGTGCATCTTCCAGGATGTGCTCCCCCCGGCAAGAGCATAGCATGAGAGCTTGGCACCCAAAATGGCCACCACAATCTTGTGTGAAAAAAATGGGATGTCCTGTTTTTTCCCCAGGGCACTTGGCAGGTGTAGTGGATCCACCTTTTACCACCAATAAATAGTGTGGTGGACTCACCCCACTAACTGCCCCCAATTCTGTATAGCTCACACACCTCACTGTATGCCAATTACGCAAATTTCTACAATTTACCACGGGCTATCGTGGTATGAGGGAAAATTTAGAGATTAGAGTCTCAAGCATGAGTCGATCAAACAAACAAGAAAAGTTTTATTAAGCAAAGAGAAGTGGGGTTAGAAGTTGCGTACTGTCGGTTAAAGGTAAAAGTAAAGGACACCTGGACGGTTAAGTCCAGTCAAAGGTGACTATGGGGTTGTGGCGCTCATCTCGCTTTCAGGTTAAGGGAGCCAGCATTTGTCCACAGACGGCTTTTCCAGGTCATGTGGCCAGAATGACTAAACTGCTTCTGGCGCAATGGAACACCATGACGGAAGCCAGAGCGCACGGAAACGCTGTTTCCCTTCCTGCCGCAGCAGTACCTATTTATCTACTTGCACTGGCGTGCTTTCAAACTGCTAGGTTGGCAGGAGCTGGGACAGAGCAATGGGAGCTCACCCCGTTGCGTGGATTCAAACTGTCAACCTTCCGATCAGCAAGCCCAAGAGGCTCAGTGATTTAGACCTCAGCGCCCTCTTCTGTGAATCCCTGTAATGGGGTGAACTCCCATTGCTCTGTCCCAGCTGCTGTTCTGATAGTCTTGTATTTTGTGTGGCATCCGATTATCAGAGGTATACTGTGCTTGAATATGGAGGCTCCATTTAGCCAGCATTTCTAAGAACTGTTTATCATCCCTTTGCTCCCCAAGTCTGTCCAATCCTTTTCTAAAGATATCTAAGTAAGGAGTTCCTTGGTGCACTTACGATAGCAGATTTAAAACAACAGTGTGACTTTCAGAGCTAGGAAAAACAGCAGGAACAGGGTCAGCCGGGTGTCTGGAAATTAGTTGCTGATTTCTAGTAATTTGACATAATTTTCTAGCCGCGTGAATACTAGCCGCAAAACGATATTAGAATCAACAAAGAAAAATTAACAAAATAGGTGTTGGTTTCTTCCCTCCTCTTGCTTTAATTTAGCAGCAAAGTTAAATATGTAGTATACTTGGCTATCGTAACCGATCTCTAATGTCGTTGTAATGAAGTGTTGTCCTCCCTAGGGAACCATGTTCACAGAGTGCATCCCTCAGCTCATCAGGCTCAGATAATATTGTTCTGGAGCTTTGCCCACCAGAGTTAAACCCTTTAAGATATACACACAGATGTGTGCACCCAGAGACGAATATGTGAAACACAATCTATTCTTTGATATAAACATCTTGTAAATGTATATATATATTTCCCTTCCAGATTCTTTATCTGTTAGGACCCCTGTTACAAACCAATTCCAGTTTTTATCTCATTTCCCCCCATAATACTGTTTTACTGTTTGCATTTTCCTACACTATTTAGAGATTTAACATATGAATGGTTTTAAAAGTTGTGTGTGTGTGTGTGTGTGTGTGTTGGAAATTCGCTTGTCTGGACAACTCTTAAACTATCATAACCAAATTTGCATGACTCCTGAGATGAGAAGATTTTTGGTCAATGTTTGGCTGCGATTGGATGCCATGTCGAATCAAGATGGTGAACTGAACCTTTTAAAACTCCACTGATTCCAAAACTGTGCTGGTTCTTTTTGGGGGAGGGTTTAGAATTCCCGAGCAACACCCTGTACAAGAGTGGAAGTGTTTTATATTTGGAAAAGTTGTAAATTGCTCTGGGAGTTCTTTATTTTCCCCATCATGATTTCACTTCTCCCCATTTCAGCATCAGTTTGATTTTCTTTTCTTTTTTTGTAAGTCTGCACAAAAAATTGAGTTTTCATGCCTCCAAATGCATGCAATTTGTACACAATTTTGCAGACTATGCACGTTTGCCAGCAATTTCCCCTAATGCAATGCATTTGTGTTCACCGCTATAAGCATTTTGTGGATGCTTTCCCCCAATATAAACACTTCTGTATGCAGTTTTTGGACAACTGCATCACAAAATTCAGAGAAGTGTGAATTTCTGGGTGTTTCATTTCGTATATTAGTTTGGAAAGTGTGCATTAGATACATTAGTATAAAAATCAAAGTACATTAATTCCCTCCCACCCCATTCCTACTCTTTACTCTCCCTGAAAAATGGGGGTAATTTTCACCCTGGATCTGGGAATACCCCTGTGTTGTCAAGGCCATTACTTTACTGCTAGCTTTTTCTGCAATGTCTGCTTTTGCAGAGCAAATCTCAGGCACGGAAACAATCTCATCTCACTAGGTTCAGTGATGTTGTAAACAAAACTGGGATGGTGTCTAAACAAGAATTACAGCATAAGGAGATTTGCATTTGCCCCGGTAACAGTGTATGCAGTTCCTTTCATCTGGAATCAGGAAAAGTATTTTCTTTTGTTTTGCCAATTAACTAGTTCTGATCCACTGCTTGCAAAATGGAGGTGGGCTCCCTGGCCAGTTTATTTCCCTGCTATATACAACAAGGTTTGCGGTGTGTTTTTTTTACTGTTGGGCGAATAATCCATTTTATGTCAAAATGCAGAACAGAGACCTGCAGATTGATGTAGCACACAAAGCACAGAACACGATGCAAACTTCTAAAGCTTTCCAATCCAGCACTGGGGAGCTTGCTTTTAAATTGGCACCCAGGTGGTATCTGGCACATAAAATGTCACTTACTAACAAGCAATTCATGAAGTATTAGCAGGGAAGATGCGGCAAAACAGGCATGCGCATTTGCCCTTGGTGACGGTGTTATTGTCAGAGATGGGAAACACTGTGAATAAAAACCTCACATTCATTAAAATAATGTGCTCTTTGGGGGGAACGGTTTCCCGCTCCAAATGTAATTGACTCAGTTAACTAGAAACTAAGCCTGTGAACCAGATTCAGCTGAGTTCCGAAGTCCCAATCAAATTGGACTGATCTGGGGAGATCTGACCAGGTTGAGCTAGTCCTGGATTACCATGGGTTGCATGGCCCAGAGTGATCTGGGGCTGTTAGAGGGCAGGACATAGGAAGAAGCTAGACCCTCCAAGTGTCCCTATTTTCCAGGGGCAGTCATAGTTTTACAGAAGCTGCCCTGGTTTCTGATTTGATCCTGGAATGTCTCAGTTTTCCTTAGATTAAAGGAACCCCTGACCATTAGGTCCAGTCGTGGCCGACTCTGGGGTTGCGGCGCTCATCTCGCTTTACTGGCCAAGGGAGCTGGCGTACAGCTTCCGGGTCATGTGGCCAGCATGACTAAGTCGTTTCTGGCGAACCAGAGCAGTGCACAGAAACACCATTTACCTTCCCACCAGAGTGCTACCTATTTATCTACTTGCACTTTGTGCTTTCAAACTGCTAGGTTGCCAGGAGCAGGGGCCGAGCAATGGGAGCTCACCCCATCGTGGGGATTCGAACCGCCAACCTTCTGATTGGCAAGTCCTAGACTCTGTGGTTTAACCCACGGCGCCACCCGCGTCCCTCATTTTTCCTTAGGACGTCCCTATTTTCAGTGCAGAAATGTTGGAGGGTATGGAGTTATGCAACCTCCAAGCCAAGGAGATAAATAAACATACAGTGGTACCTTGCTTCCCGAATGGCTTAGTTGTTGAACAAATCAGCTCCCGAATGCTGCAAACCTGGAAGTAAGTGTTCCAGTTTGCGAATGTTATTCGGAAGCCGAATGTCCGATGGTGGCTTCTGCAGCTTCCAATTGAGTGCAGGAAGCTTCTGCAGCCAATCAGAAGCTGCGCCTTGGTTTTCAAACGGTTTTGGGAGTCGGACGGACTCCTGGAACGGATTAAGCTGAAGAACCAAGGTACCATTGTACAACCATTAGAAGACATCTGAAGATAGGGAAGTTTTTTTAATGTTTAATGTTTTACTGTGTTTTATATATGTGAGAAACTGCCCAGAGTGGCTGGGGCAACCCAATCAGATGGGTGGGCTACGAACAACATCTATATGAAGCCACTGGGAGAGATCATCAGGGGGTTTGGACTGGGTGTCCATCAATATGCAGATGATACCCAGCTCTACCTCTCTTTCAAATCAGAACCAGTGAAGGCGGTGAAGGTCCTGTGTGAGTGCCTGGAGGCGGTTGGAGGATGGATGGAGGTTAATGGATTGAGGTTGAATCCTGACAAGACAGAAGTACTGTTTTTGGGGGACAGGGGCGGGTGGGTGTGGAGGACTCCCTGGTTCTGAATGGGGTAACTGTGCCCCTGAAGGACCAGATGCGCAGCCTGGGAGTCATTCTCACAGCTGTCCATGGAAGCGCAGGTCAATTCTGTATCCAGGGCAGCTGTTTATCAGCTCCATCTGGTATGCAGGCTGAGACCCTACCTGCCCATGGACTGTCTCACCAGAGTGGTGCATGCTCTAGTTATCTCCCGCTTGGACTACTGCAATGCGCTCTATGTGGGGCTGCCTTTGAAGGTGACCCGGAAACTACAACTAATCCAGAATGCAGCAGCTAGACTGGTGACTGGGAGTGGCTGCCAAGACAATATAACACCAGTCCTGAAAGACCTACACTGGCTCCCAGTACGTTTCCAAGCACAATTCAAAGTATTGGTGCTGACCTTTAAAGCCCTAAACGGCCTCGGTCCAGTATACCTGAAGGAACGTCTCCACCTCCATCGTTCTGCCCAGACACTGAGATCCAGCGCCGAGGGCTTTCTGGTGGTTCCCTCACTGCGAGAAACCAAGTTACAGCGAACCAGGCAGAGGGCCTTCTCGGTAGTGGCGCCCGCCCTGTGGAACGCCCTCCCATCAGATGTCAAAGAGAAAAACAACTACCAGACTTTTAGAAGACATCTGAAGGCAGCCCTGTTTAGGGAAGCTTTTAATGCTTAATAGGTTATTGTATTTTGGTGTTCCGTTGGAAGCCGCCCAGAGTGGCTGGGGAAACCCAGCCAGATGGGCGGGGTATAAATAATAAATTATTATTATTATTATTATTATTATTATTATTATTATTACAATAAAATTATGATGATGATGGAGATTATTTTAATTGGAGAAATGTTGGAAGGTATGAGAAGCAGGCATGGATGGGAAGGAGAAATTGCAAAAAGGAAGGGAGCTACCAGGCAGCTACATATTTGTGGGAGAAGGTGGTGTGGATGCCTTTCCCACCTGACCTCTCCTCCTTCCTGCCCCCAAAGCAGCACCACACATGACTGAATTTTTTGCTTACCAGCTGGTAAGCTGGAGTATTTGATCCTGTGCTGTGCCAAGATGCTATTCCTATGTTGCCAGTTTCTCTGTGAATTGATGGGGGAGGTGGAGAATCCAGGGTAGGTACCCAGAACTGGACACAGTATCCCAGGTGTGGTCTGACCAAGGCAGAATAGAGTGATGCTATTACTTCCCTTGATCTGGATACTACTGTTGGCGCAGCCTAGAATAGCAGTAGCTCTCTCTTTTTGCTGCTGCTCTCTTGCATTTTGCAAACTCAGTATGCGTTCCATGCCTTGAGTTACTTGGAGGATTTGGGCCTGCCCCGAGTTCAAAGCACGCAGCTTTAATTACTGTAAATGCCTTTCATTCTTTTTCCCCATCGTCATGGGCAAGCCGTTCTGGGCATTAGTTAAGTTTATGGTGCAACGTAGAAGCCGAGAGGAGATATAAATCTCGCTCAGAGGGAATTGAACGGGGAGAGTCTGACTAAGGCCTTTTCCTCATGTACTTTGGCAGACCATTTAGCAGAAGAAAGCTGTGATTAATCGTGCCCGTTTTCCTCCAAACAACACAGAAAAGGTGGCATTTTCTTTTTTCTTTTTCTTTTGCAAGTGTGGAAGAGAAACTATGCCAGATGAATATGCAAAAGCCTTCCCTCCTGATAGCTACCATGCATGCGATGTCAGAGGAAACCGTTCTCTCTGCCTTCCATGAATCTGCCCCACATTGAGCAGTTCAAGCAGAAGGCAAGAAGACCATGCATTAGTTCGAAAGTGGAATTTTAAGGCTTTCCAACACTGAAATTAGTCACTCTCTATCCTCGCTACATAGGGACACGGGTGGCACTGTGGGTTAAACCACAGAGCCTAGGACTTGCTGATCAGAAGGTCGGTGGTTCAAATCCCCATGACGGGGTGAGCTCCCGTTGCTCGGTCCCTGCTCCTGCCAACCTAGCAGTTCGAAAGCACGTCAAGTGCAAGTAGATAAATAGGTACCACTCCGGCGGGAAGGTAAATGGCATTTCCATGCGCTGCTCTGGTTCGCCAGCAGCAGCTTAGTCATGCTGGCCACATGACCCGGAAGCTGTACGCCAGCTCCCTCAGCCAGTAAAGAGAGATGAGCGCCGCAACCCCAGAGTCGTCCGCGACTGGACCTAATGGTCAGGGGTCCCTTTACCCTCTCTACATTACAGTGGTACCTCAGGTTACGACTCTGCTAACCCAGAAATAGTACCTCGGGTTAAGAACTTTGCTTCAGGATGTGAACAGAAATCGTGCGGCGACAGCAGGAGGCCCCATTAGCTAAAGTGGTGCTTCAGGTTAAGAACAGTTTCAGGTTAAGAACAGACCTCCAGAACGAATTAAGTACTTAACCCGAGGTACCACTGTATATGCATGGTTTTTTCTTGGGAAAGGCCCTTAATAATGTTGATCCTCTTCCCCCCGCCACCCCCCGTCTCATTCAGTGATATATTTTTTTCCTGATTGGCTGTGTCTTCTTGCCCCTGCTGGTTTAGGGCTTCTTTTTCTTTCCTACAAAATATCACCCCAAGCAAGCAGGGATGCTGAAGTGAATGTGATGGCATCACAATGCTATGTAGCCAGATTTGGCCCCAATGACACTGAGGCCCCATCTGCACTCCTGCACCACTTTAAGCAGTCATGGTGTCCCCCAAATGAATCCTAGAATTGTAGATTGGGGCAGAGGGCAGGCAGCTGTCAGGATGCTGTCAGTAGCTCCCAGCTGGTTGCCCAGGAAAGTATAAAGACAAGGAAAGGTGGGAGAGAGAATTGGGGCCATTAATTGCGAAGCTGGGGGAGGGGCCCAGATGCCAAATTGGCTACGGGGATAACAACTTGGAAATGTGCTGGTCCTCTCATCTCTCTTCTTGAAAAACTTGATTTGAGTGCGAAGCTTAACTATGTTTTTGATTCATTTGTTTTACTGGGTAACATTGAGCAAGTTTTCTGTACCTAAAGTGGCAACTGCTTTGGCAACAAGCCCTGCAGAAATGAGCATAAGAAGTAAATAATTCACAATGAGTCCCACAGAGCTAAGTCTTCTTTAATGACAGCTAACTGATGTGCCATTAAGAGTCCTTCGTCAACATTTTATTTCCCCAAGAATGCTGTATCTTCCTCGTTAAATGACTGCTGGTCTAATATCTATGGCACCAGATTTAGCTGTGAGGCAGTTTAAGTGGAACCTATGTCTTCCAGTAAAGAATCTGTGACTTTTCCTGTAAAGCAGGGATAGGGAGCCTGTTGCTACCCAGATGTTGTTGGACCACGAGTTCCGTCATCCCTGACCGTTGACCATGGCAGCTAGGGCTGATGAAAGTTCACATCCATTAATGTCTGGAGATCCTTATGAGGAATGGTTGAAGGAGCTGGGTATGTTTAGCCTGGAAAAGAGGAAACTGAGAAGAGACAGGATAGTCATCTTCAAATATCTAAAAGGTTGTCACATGGAAATTGCAGCAAGCTTGCTTTTTCCTGCTCTGGAGGGTAGGACCCAAACCGGTAGCTTCAAGTTACAAGAAAGGAGATTCCGCCTAAACATCAGGAAGAGCTTTCTGACAGTAAGAGCTGTTTGACAGTGGGACGGTCTCCCTTGGGAGGTTGTGGAGGTTCCTTGGGAGGTTCCTTGGAGGTTATTAAGCGGAGGTTGGATGGCCATCTGTCATGGATGCTTTAGCTGAGATTCCTGCAATGCGGGGGGTTGGACTAAATGAGCCTGGGGAACCCTTCCAACTCTGTGATTTCATGATTCCTCAAGATCTTCACCCTGATCTAATTCATATTGTCTGCACTAACCTTTCTCAACCTGGGTTCCTTCAGATGCTTAGAACGACAATTCAGTCAGCCAGTGGTCAGAGAGGATGGGAGTAGGAATCCAACATCTGGATGGCATCAAGTTGGGTTGTGGTGTTTGTGTCAGTCATGAAAACTGAGTGCTCAAAGGGAGTATGTTGCCATAAATCATTAATAATAATAATAATAATAATAATTTATTTATACCCCACCCATCTGGCTGGGTTTCCCCAGCCACTCTGGGCGGCTTCCAACAAAAGATTTAAAATACATTAAAACATAGAACAAGTGAAAGCTGGACCATAAAGAAGGCTGATCGCTGAAGAATTGATGCTTTTGAATTATGGTGCTAGAGGAAACTCTTGAGAGTCCCATGGACTGCAAGAAGATCAAACGCATCCATTCTTAAGGAAATTAGCCCTGAGTGCTCATTGGAAGGACAGATCCTGAAGCTGAGGCTCCAATACTTTGGCCACCTCATGAAAAGGGAAGGCTCCCTGGAAAAGACCCTGGTGTTGGGAAAGATGGAGGGCACAAGGAGAAGGGGACAACAGAGGACGAGATGGTTGGACAGTGTTTTCGAAGCTACAAACATGAGTCTGACCAAACTGCGGGAGGCAGTGGAAGACAGGAGTGCCTGGCGTGCTCTGGTCCATGGGGTCACGAAGAGTCGGACACGACTGAACGACTAAACAACAACAACAAAACATAGAACTGTATACTTGGAAGGGTCAACTAGACCAACCCCGTCCAATGCAGGAATCACAACTATTGTTCAGATGAAGTAACCAAATGATAGGAAGCCGAACAATTGGTCCACCTAGCAGTCTTGCTTGTGCTGGGGTAGCCAACATGGTACCCTCCAATTCCTATCAGCCCAAGCCAACATGGCCAAAGATCAGGGATGATGGCAGCTAGAGTTCATCAACATTTGGAGGGCACCATTTTGGCTGCCCACTGGTCTACAATAATGCCAAGCAGCTCTTCACACTTTGAGACAGGAGCCTTTTACAGCCCTACCTGCAACTAGGTATGGACAGATCAACCTGTTCCTAGCCCATGGCTATCTCAGATGTGTTCATTCATAAATCTGTCCCATCCTTTTCCTTCATTAATCTTCAGCTTGAAAAACACACACAAACAACTCAAAAATCCCCTCAAAAACAAAATATGTTTGAATGAGGAAAACATATTGCTGTGCTTGAAAGCAGGACCAAATGCAACCTTGTATCTGCTGGAACTGACCAACTTCGTAATAAACGACAAGGCAGTTAATCACCAGCTCAGCAAGCATTTTGGGGGGGACAGCCTGCAATAACATCAAGTAATATATGCTGGTGTCCTTGCTGTGTTCCTTTTCCTGCTAGGGGAGTTTAGAACTCACTTTCCTGCACAAAACAGCTCCGTTCCATCTTTCTTATAAAGTGGCAAAACTTGGCCCCGTTTAGCTTGTGATGGATTTGGTCACGTTTAGGGCATCCTTTTTCACCTGGGTGCCCCTCCAGATGTCTTCAACTGCAACTCCTTTCAGCTTCAGCTAGCATGGCCAATGGCCAGGAATGATGGGAGTTGTAGTCCGAAATGTCTGGAGAGCTGCAGGTTGGGAAAGGCTGGTCTAGGGTTTGGGGAAAATGTTAATGTTGGCTTCCTGGAAGAAACATACTCTACTGCTGTCCTTCAGAGATATTTGGATCAGGGATAAGGAACCCATGGTCCTCCAGAGGCTGTTGGACTACAACTCACATCATCCATAACCATTGGCCAGGCTGGCTGGGCTGATGGGAGCTGGATACAATTTTAATCTCAAATGACATTCAGAAGGAAAGGGAGCAGCAACTGGACAGAAACGTCATAGCACAGACAATTTCTGTGGGTCTCCTCAGCTGATTTACTTTTGGACCTTGTCCTATAGCAAAGCAGCTTGTAAAATTCTGCATGCTGAGGGATGAGAGATAACAAGTGCCACAAAGTCTCCTTGTTGCATTTGCATTTGCTACAGCAGACTCAACATGACTACCCGTCTGCAGTTTGCCACCTTGCAATAACAGCAGACAGTAGACCAATCCCTATCCTCTACCCACAACTATTTGCATTGTTAGTCATGCCTGACACTAATGAGTAGGGTTCAATACTTTGGAAAGTTCATTTGAAAAAAGAACCTGCTCTAAGTCTTGTTCATCCTGCCCAAAAAGGAACTAGTTCCACTTCCACTTTGTCCTTTCCCAAAATGAACCAGATTAGTTAAAATTCATTTAGATGAACTTTTTAGTTCTTTAAAAGGTCATGCGTCATCTCCTGTACCCAGCATTTGGAATTTTACAAGCTTATTGCTAAAGGATAGGGTCCAAAAGTAAATCAGGGAACCACATTCTTCCTATTTTTATACAGTGGTACCTCTGGTTACGTACTTAATTCGTTCCAGAGGTCCGTTCTTAACCTGAAACTGTTCTTAACCTGAGGTACCACTTTAGCTAATGGGGCCTCCCACTGCTGCTGCGCCGCCGCCGCCCGATTTCTGTTCTTATCCTGAAGCAAAGTTATTAACCCGAGGTACTATTTCTGGGTTAGCAGAGTCTGTAACCTGAAGCATATGAAACACGAGGTAGCACTGTACTTCAAAAGCTGTTCCAGTTGGAAGAGAATTTCTTCCAGGGAAGATACAAGATATAACTCACACTCCTTCTTTCTGATTGCCTAGCAGCAGTGATTAAATTACCTTACTAAGCAACTTTAGCAACAGCAGCGCTTCCATATCTGCCTAATAAACCATAGAATATAGCCTCCACATTTTGTTTGCTAACTTTCTTTATAGGTGTGCCGTTGACATTTTCTTAATATAAAAAATGAAAATGAAAGCTAAGCGTCCTCCTGCTTTGGAAACAGGGAATGAAGATGAACTAGAAATAACTCGAAGTTCTGCTCCAAATGAACTTAATTCACCTTTAGTTCACCCAGGAATTATGGGAACTACTTTCAGGTGTAGTTTGGCAATTTTGTAACTAGTTCAGTGAACTGATGTGGCTTGGAGAGGGGCCATAGCACATGCTTTGTTGGCAGAAAATCCCAGATTCAATCCCTCGCGCATTGATGCAAAACAATCTTAGCTGGCAGAGCTGGGGAAAAGGCCTCCCCTGGGACCTTAGAGAGCCACTATCGTCCAGAACAGACAATACCAGCTGAGCGTAAGACATTTCTTTTATTGTTAACTTACAAAATTCAGGTCTGGGTTACCTTTGTGCAAAGTGATGTTTTCAGGGTTTGGGGGTTTTTTTTAGGTCACAGTATGCCTAGAATATGATAGTGCAGTCGAACCAGTCTACCTTTCTCCAAAAGTAGTTGAAAGATGGCGAGTTCAGAAGAGGGCTTTGAACTGCTTACTCAGATGTTCCTTGAACACAAGATCATACAGTGCTACCATCCCATCCCTCGGGACCCTACTGCTTTGGCAAGGATGTTCTTCTGACATATGTACAGGGTTCTAACAGCCAGGCAGCTGTTTTGATCCTGCTTTGCTTAAAAGACGCCAGAACGTTATTGAAATCAAATAGCTCTGTGACTTCTGCATAAATAAACCTGTCTAGACACTTGGATGATATCTGGTGAAGCTAACCATGAAGCTAACGCCCACCCCATTTTTTGCAAGAAAAGGTGGCAGGAGATCTATGTGCATTCCATAACTGTGTTTTTATGCAGACCCATCTCCTTCTTTCAAGGGACGCGGGTGGCACTGTGGGTTAAACCACAGAGTCTAGAACTTGCCGATCAGAAGGTCGGCGGTTCAAATCTCCGCAACGGGGTGAGCTCCAGTTGCTCGGTCCCTGCTCCTGCCAACCTAGCAGTTCGAAAGCACGTCACAGTGCAAGTAGATAAATAGGTACCACTCCAGCGGGAAGGTAAACAGCGGTTCCGTGCGCTGCTCTGGTTCGCCAGAAGCAGCTTAGTCATGATGGCCACAGGACCCGGAAGCTGTACGCCAGCTCCCTCGGCCAATAAAGTGAGATGAGCGCCGCAACCCCATAGTCGGCCACGACTGGACCTGATGGTCAGGGCTCCCTTTACCTTTACCTTAATCTCCTTCTTTGGCCTTTGGTCATGTCCCCTTTTTAATTTGGATCCTGTTATTTCCTTAAATATAGGGCCCTCCATGTGCATTTGGATTCCCAACTCCCATTACTCTGTACCAGCATGGTCACAGGTCAGGGATGGTGAGATTAACATCTGGACGGTTACAGGTTCCCCACACCTGGGCTAGATGGCTCACAGGTGTGGTCCCAAAGTATGTTTTGAAGGCACCTTGCCTTCAAAGTAAGTTTGGGTCTGGGAAGTGCCTTTTATAGAGCTCCATAGGCTCAACAATTGAACGAATGCAGGACATGAATAAAAGCTTACAAAAGTTGCTAGCAGAATCATACCATGTAAGTTATTGGTGAAGATGCTTATCTGGGTTAAAGAAACTTCTCTGTTGATCACCTGGAACCAATTTTTCCCCACCATGGGTGAGTAGGCAAGTGGCTGTTTATAAGCTTGGTTTCTTATAATCAATTTTCTGTTATTTAACTACACACACACAGAGAGAGAGAGAGAGAGAGAGAGAGAGAGTTTCTAGACAGATGTAGAAAACAGGAGTTACTTGCGAATAAGTGGCCTCACCTTTTAGTAAGCTTTGTTATTCTGGATTTCAAAAGAAAAACATTCAACGACTGAGCAAGTACATCTTGAAACAGCACACCGTGCAAGGAAGGGCATTTTAGCAGGTTTCGTTACGCTGCGCTTATGAGCAAGAAGAGCACTTAACCAACGGGAGAATAATTTTAACTACCATAAATAAATAAATGTTAAAGCAGTACACCATGTAAGCCATCCATTAGCAGAGCACTCAGCAAGACAGACATTGACTTTCTGCCATGTTGTTATCTAAAAAATCATTAGTGGGATTATTTTATTCCCAATTCCCTGTGTTCCTCCCTCCCCACCCCCACCAAAAAGCTATTAAATCCTTTCAAAAAGATCCATCTAGAATGTTCCTATAAAATGTATTATATCAGCAGTAGCTGCAAAGCCCACAAACAAATTTAAAGAACCCAAATGAATGCAGATTGATTTAGATTCATGAACCCTGGTATCCTGTTGCTGGGAATGAACAACAAAGTACTCTACCACTTGCATCATGTTAGCTAGTTCAATGCTGAAGGCTGGATGTGCCAGGGATAATCTCAGGCACCTTCAAACAGGGCTTGGAAGCACCTGCACTGCCAGGGGTTGGACTATATGATAATAATAATAATAATATTATAATAATAATAATTTATTATTTATACCCCACCCATCTGGCTGGGTCATAGCTGTCAACTTTCAGATTTGAAAATAAGGGATCAGCAGCCTCGAAAATAAGGGATCAGCAGCCTCACCTGTCCAGGGGACAGTCTACGGGATATCTAACAATCCGGGATAGCAGCGGGAAGCAGCAGGAAACGGCGCTGGAATAAGGGAATTTCCCACCAAAAAAGGGAAGGTTGACAGCTATGGGCTGGGTTTCCCCAGCCACTCTGGGCGGCTCCCAACAGTTTAAAAACAGAACAGAACATCAAACATTAAAAAACCTCCCTAAACAGGGCCGCTTTCATATGTCTTCTAAAAGTCAGATAGCTGTTTATTTCCTTGACATCTGATGGGAGGGCCACCACCGAGAAGGCCCCCGTGTCTCTTCCAGCTCTATGATTCTGTGATTCTATGACTCAGGTCTGAAAGCCAATCCGAGCAGACCAGTTTTCCCCAAGCTGGTCCCATCAAGATGCTGTGAAGCCTGCGAACTGGGGTGCAAACATGCAGGAAGCATTTCAGCCCAGAGCTAGGCTCCATCTTGCTCTGAAAAACCTCCTGGCTCTTCGGCCTGACCAGTCTGCACCTTGCAAACAAACAAACAAAACAGGGGGAGGAAGTGCATTTATTTTCTCAGTGAGAGATGAGAAGCAGGGCTCATTCCCTCAGCGTTGCCAAAAGACCAGCTGTATCAGGAACCTCCTTCCCATGAACTCTTTCCACACCAGCTGTGGATTTTAAGAACTACAGTTTAAGAATTGGTGCCTGGCTTTGTTTCCCCCACCTTCACTCCTTCCTCCTTCACTTGCATGTGTCTTTTTGGTTTTAAGTTCGTGGGACTATCTTGTTTTAAGTGATTGTAAGCCAGCCACTCTGGGAGCCTTTCTGGCTGAAGAATGGGGTACGGGTGTTTCTAAATTCATTTAATTCATTAATTGGTCAACAGTCAAGCACATTGGAGGTTATCGGGAGACGGTCTGATGCCAGACTGAATTAAATGTTCCGCTTGCACAGTATGTTTAAAAGGGCTTTTAATAGTTATATAAGAAGAAAAAGGGATTTATCTAGAGCTACTGAAGTCTGGGTTTTTTAGGGTTTTTTTTTATTATGGGTCTGTAATAGCAGCCAAATTGACATAATCAACAGCAAAAACAGCTGCAGCAAGCTGTGAATACACACACTGTGTTGACATAGGCAGGGAAAATGTTATTTACTTACTGCAGTCGTATCCTGCTTTTTCTCCAAAGAGCACAAAATGGTATGTTTCTCTCCCCGTTTTCATTGTATCAGCACAACAACCTTGCAGGGTAGGCTAGGCTGTGAGACAGTGAGTTGCTCAAGGTCACTCCTTGGAAAAGCCACAGATTGGGGGTGGGGGATGCTCAGGCCTTGGTGGGGCCAACTGTGCCCCCCATAGCTCTCTGTATGGCCCTTGTGACTCCCTAAGGGCCATGTTCCCTCCCAAGCCACACACCCCTCTCCAGCCTTCCTCAAGAGCTTTTGCCTGGCTGGAAAATGTCTTTGAGTTCTGATTTTGCTTCTGGCAGAGAGTGGGGTGTAACTGCGAAGGAACTAGCTGACTGCACAGAGGTAAAATTTGCACCCAGCGCCATCCTCACTTTGGCCTTTGGCCCTGTCATGGAATTCTACTCAATATCGATCCAGAGCAGAAGTCAGACGTATAGTTAGCAGGGTAAAAACTTAAACATGTTGCAAGATTCCCAAAAAACAGACCAGAGGCAATTAATATTTCATCCAGCAGAGCTTTACTGCCACTGAAGGCAAATGAGCATAATGGTCACAAATCCAATACAATCAGGATTGGCACTGTCCATAAGAAATCCAGTTGCAGCAGACTTAATTAAAACTTACAATAACTGATAATAAGTCTAAACCTGAACACTATGTACAGAACACCACACCAGAAGGAAAAGAGAGATAGGCCTTATTTTTATAGTCAGCATGACCTTGATAGAAAGAGATAAGAGAACCAGTTTAAGCCAGCTGTACTCAGCTTCTCTGACCAGGGGTCAGCAAACTTTTTCAGCAGGGGGCCGGTCCACTGTCCCTCAGACCTTGTGGGGGGCCAGACTATATTTTGGGGGGGAGGGATGAACAAATTCCTATGCCCCACAAATAACCCAGAGATGCATTTTAAATAAAAGGACACATTCTACTCATGTAAAAACACACTGATTCCCGGACCGTCCGTGGGCCGGATTTAGAAAATGATTGGGCCGGATCCAGTCCCCAGGCTTTAGTTTGCCTACCCATGGAATAACCCAAACATCAGGAACCTTCTGCCTGCTTCTTTTACACAGAGACGCTTCCAGAACCCTCTTGAATTAAGTAGAATAGGAAAGATCTCTACACATCAGATCAATACTTTGCGCACTAAGAAATGCAAACACCAATGCCGTGTGGTCTTCAGAAACTTGCCCAGAACATTATGTGGTCCTCAAGCTGGAAAGGACTCCCCAGCTTTTGTTATCCCCCCCCCCCACGCTTCAGTTTGTCTGGGTGCTTTGTGGGGGAGACACTCTGCTTTCTCAAGAAGGGAAGTGGGGAAAGGATGGCTGCTCAAGATCCTCAAAAAGGATATGGTAGAGTTGGGAAAAGTTCAGAAAAGGACAAACAAAATTACTAAAGGAGTGGGGCGGCTCCCCTATTGAGGAAAGGTTGCAGAAGAAAAGGAGATTAAGGTGCAATGTGATACAAGGTTGTTGTTTTTTCTATTTATGCATGGCATTGAGAAAGTGGCTAGAGAAAAGTGTTTCTCCCCCTTAGGACAGGTAATATCTTCACACAGTGCATCGTTAAACTATGGAACTCACGGCCACAGGAGAGCAGTGGTGGCCATCAACTTAGATGGCTTTAAAAAAGGACTAGCTAAATTCATGTGTTAGTGGCTACTAGCCATGATGACTATGTTCTGCCTCCATGGTCATGTAATAAACGAAAATCTGCCCTTATTCCCTTATGGGGGACACAAGAGCCCTTATAGAGTCCTTTGTAGGTTCTCCATCGGTCAGAGAAAAGAACAGAGGCCAACCGGAGAATATTGAGAAGCAAAGCAGCTCGTAAGCCTGATCTTTATTGAACTGTTGCAACAGGGTGCTCCCCTCACACGCAGGAAAGGAGGAGGACCCAGAACAAAGGTGTGCCTGCCCTTATATAGACATTTTAAATTACCCACCCTGGAGTCCAAGACCACCCCCAGAAACATCGTACCTACATCACAGAAGGGGTGTAGCTCAAGACCCCCCCCCCCCGATACATCTTACCTACATCACAGAAAGGGCAGTCCACAACAGAAATTTGAGTGCTTGTTTACCTCCTGTCTAGCAAGTTACCTGTTAATGCTTATTTGATTGGATACCCTGGGGAGCCTGGCCAGTCTTTTGTAATGATAAATACTTAGTTCCTGAGCCAGGCTCACCCTATTCATACACAGATATACCCTTAGATTTTGTGAATGAAAAGACAATGGGGAGGCGTTTCCATTTTCCTTTGACCTTGCAGAGAAAACACTTGCGGTCAGTTTGGGAGCCAAACCACAGAGCCTAGGACTTGCCGATCAGAAGGTCGGCGGTTCGAATCCCCGCGAAGGGGTGAGCTCCCGTTCCTCGGTCGCTGCTCCTGCCAACCTAGCAGTTTGAAAGCATGTCAAAGTGCAAGTAGAGAAATAGGTACCGCTCCGACGGGATGGTAAATGGCGTTTCCGTGCGCTGCTCTGGTTTGCCCAAAGCGGCTTAGTCATGCTGGCCACATGACCCGGAAGCTGTATGTCAGCTCCCTTGGCCAATAAAGCGAGATGAGCACCGCAACCCCAGAGTCAGTCACGACTGGACCTAATGGTCAGGGGTTCCTTTACCTTACCTTGCTTTGTACATTTATGAACATTTATTATATATATAAGACCTTAATTTATTTATTTCAATCAGGAGGCAGTAATTCTTCTGAATACCAATTGCTGGAAACCGCAGGAGGGTAGAGGGTTCTCGAACTCAGGTCCTGCTGGAGAGGGTTTTCCACAGGCATCTAGTTGACTAATGTAAGAACAAGATGCTGGACTAGTTGGGCCACTGACTTGGTCCAGCATCTCTTCTGAAGTTCTTATTTTCTTGTGCAAGGAAAAAGGAGCCGGGAATAGGTGTGGCTTGCAGTTGAGTGAGGAGTGTCCTTGCATAGCCTAGTTTTTGCCCTAGGCTTCCAGATACGTTTCGCTGTAACGCTAACCCGCCCCCCCTGAGACAGAATGTTCTTTGAATCCAGATTCTTCCCTCGCATGACCCAGGAGAGGAGAACCCTGTCGTAGCGTCCCTTTATTCATGATGTTGTAGGTTTTAACACCGAACCCAAAAGCCGTGGCACGGCGGTGCTTTTTCTTGCCTCGGTTTCCCTTGAGTACAAATGAGGACCCATCATTTCCCTTTTGGCAGTCGTCTAATTAAAGGGAGGGTGGGGATATAACAGATGCCTTCTCTGCAGTTTGCCACTCCGCACAACTTTGGAACAGTGGCTATTTTTAATGTAGCAGTTGGTGAATTAAATGAGGTGAAACCTATTCCGGTTTCTGCAAGAAGCTCCCATAAATATTTATTTTCAGGGCTGTGTGCATTCTATGTATCTTTAGAATAGCTGTGGATGTGTCAGGTCCAATAATTTCGTTGTCCCCGAAGGGGGGCAATGACAATAAAGATATTATTATTATTATTATTATTATTATTATTATTATATTTGCCAGCATCTCTGCATTAATGCAAATGTTTTCTTAAACCTGGGCCTCGGCCCAGTATACCTGAAGGAGCGTCTCCACCCCCATCGTTCAGCCCGGACACTGAGGTCCAGCACCAAGGGCCTTCTGGTGGTTCCCTCATTGAGAGAAGTGAGGTTACAGGGAACCAGGCAGAGGGCCTTCTTAGTAGTGGCGCCCGCCCTGTGGAATGCCCTTCCATCAGATGTCAAAGAAATAAACAACTATCTGATGTTTAGAAGACATCTGAAGGCAGTATAGGGAAGTTTTTTAATGACTGATGTTTTAATGTATTTTTAATCTCCTGTTGGGAGCCACCCAGAGTGGCTGGGGAAGCCCAGCCAGATATGATACAATAATCTTTATTGTCATTGTCTCATACAGAACAAAATTGAAAAAATCTACATCAGACATTCAAAAACCAACAAGCCTGCTATCCCAGCTATCCCAGCCTGGTTAGCCCCCTAAAAACTCTGATACCCCATAATTAAATGCAGTATATTCCCATAGAGACTACCTTAGTGGGTAATAATAATAATAATAATAATAATGTTGAAGTCACAACTGTCCCGCTCCACTCTGCAGAGGTGTTGTAAAAGTGCCTCTGCTCCCCCTTCCAAAGTGGCTAAAATCAAGGTGCAAAGGGGAGACCCCCCTCTTGAACCCAGGTTCTCACCTTCAACCCTTTATTTCTTCCTCTTCTTCTGACCGATCCTGCCAGTCCAAACCCGATTCCAACAGCTCTGTGGGGCTCATGAAACCAGGCATGTTTTAACTGAACTTTCCCCACTGCTTTCCCAGGTAAAGGTGATGTGTTTGGGGACATCTTCTGGAAGGAGACCACTCTGGCCCACGCATGCGCCAATGTGCGGGCCCTGACCTACTGCGATTTGCACATTATCAAGCGGGAAGCCTTGCTGAAAGTCCTGGACTTTTATACAGCTTTTGCAAACTCCTTCTCCAGGAATCTCACGCTCACCTGCAATCTGAGGAAACGGGTAAGATATCGTCGTTTTGATTTTGATGGTTAGGCATTCATTTACAGATCGCATGTGTCTCAAGGAAATTTGCAAACCTATGGTAAGACAGCTAAGAATACTATTGAAAACACGAATGCAACACACAATCAAGATAGGTTTAACAGCAATGCAAAATCAACACTTAAGGCACATATATTTTCACCTGGCAGGAGAAAATGTGTTGGGGGGGAATGTCTTCAATTGTTTCTGGAAAGCACAAATCGTGGGTGTTGTCTCCTATCTCAACGGAGATGCTATTCCATAAAACAGAGGCAGCCCCAATGAATGTCTTTCTCTGGGTTACTCTGGAGCAGATTTCTGATATTTCAAGAATTTTTAATAACATGTACACTGAGAGCATGATGCAGAATGGTCCTCTGAGCTGTAATTTGGTGAAGGCACCAAGATTAGACAGCCTGCAATCCCATAATCATGTCACAGAGGATGATTTTGTATTAGACACAGCATCCTAAATATCATAGTTTCTACTACTACTACTACTTTTAAAGCAAGTTTCTAGTCCTTAGATTGACAAAGATAGAGCTGCAAGTGTGTGGCAATGTCTAAAACACCCCAGATACTACCCTGCCCAGGATAGAATATCTAGATCTTTACTAGCTTCTATTGTTTTTAAAGCTCATGATGATTAACAACTGCAGAATGAGTTATCCAAAATAAATAAGCAGTTGCCTCCTTGACAATAGTCAAGGAGCAAATGTGGACCAACTTGGAAGACAGTTGGGTTTTTGTTTTTTGCTTGTTTGTTTTTAAAGATTTTATTTGCTTTTTTATTTAACCATGTCATCAATGCATACTGTGTTACAGTCAAGTACAAGGTAATAGGGAGGGGGTGGGACTTTAAAGACAGTTAAGATTCCAGGCAGAGTCCCAACACAACCAGGAAGCCTTGCATAGGTACATCTTTCCCAGGGAGATCCTGGGAATAATACCAGTGGGTGGGGCCAGTCCAGAACCTGAGAACACATTACTGCCCAGGCATGTGCTCTCAACCACAGTCCTTGTAGCGCATTGCATGGTGGTAGCTCTGTAGAGAACTGATGGCTTCCTATAAGAAAGATGCACATGGCCGGATGCTAAGGGGGGAGGAAGATCAAAGGTCACAAATGAGTTTGAAACAGCCCTTCGGTTTTTTGGCTGTTTGCCTCTAGCTTATCTGGGGATCATGCAACCCAAATCTCTCCTGGTATGCCCCGCGAAGGACATTAAGGTCCACAAATATGAACATTTTGGAGGTCCCAAGTCACAAGGTGGTTAGATTGGTCTCAACTAGGGCCAGGGCCTTTTCAGTACTGGCCCCGACTTGGTGGAACGCTTTGTCACAAGCGACTAGGGCCTTGCGGGACTTGACATCTTTCTGCAGGGCCTGCAAGACAGAGCTGTTCCGCCTGGCCTTTGGTTTGGACTCAGTCTGACCCTTATGTTTCCCTCCCCTTATGGTTTTGATCTATGGGCTACTTTTAAAATGAGGCTGCATTTTAAATTGCATTTTAACATTAAATTGGTTTTTTGCCCCCCCCCCCATTTACTGTAATTTTACTGGTGTTAGCTGCCCTGAGCCCGGCTCTGACCGGGGAGGGCAAGGTATAAATAATAATAATTATTATTATTTATTATTATACAGGGTGAGTCATTTAAAATAGGCCCTGTGGATACAGAGTACACATGTTCCACGGGGCCTCTTTTAAAAGACTCACCCTGTATAAGAAAATATGTATATACCCGTGAATAGGCTCAGAGCTGCCTTAAGAACAGAGAGTGTGTCAAAAAAAGGGTGCCTTTCTGTTTATTTTGTAGTCAAGCCGCAGATCTCCCTGTCAATTAGCTTCCGTGGAAATAATACAATATCTACACATGAATTAGCTATTAACGATATGCCTTTGGGACTGGGTTCGGAGATGCCTTCATTTTTATGCAGCTGGAGGGGGGGGCGAATGTTCTTTTTTTATGTGGGTGTTCCTAAAACCATATTAATGAAGGTCATATAAATGTTATCTGCATGAAGAAATCTCATAATTGTGATGAATAGATTTATGGAGCATTAACTCTGGCGCTTTTATGGCTGGAATGAATTTCTCTTTTCTCTGTAGCTCTACTTTTTTATCGTGAGATGAAGACGTTTGTAGCAGGCAAAACAAAACAAAACAAAAACCCCCTCCAAATATTATAGTACGCTGTAATGTAATCCCCATATTAATACACAGATGGTATCGGTGGTACCTGTGAATTAACGTCTGCAGAGCACTAGGTGTAATTCCAAAAAGGTGGAAGATATTGGCAAAACCTATTGCTGTTTCACAACTTTCTGACTAGTTGCAGGACCTTAGCCAGACCTAGCAGAGTAAACGCAGAATCCACGGAAGCAATTGGCAACTTGGCTGCAGACAGGATGGATGAAGCAGGAACCAGGAACTTGTAGTTAGGTGTTTATTATATACAGTGGACTATTTACAGGAACAGAACAGAACATGGATCTTTAACTTGCTCTCTCATACACGACTCACAACTCCTGAACTCAAGCTCGTACACTAACACATTCCAGTTAGGTAAAGGGACCCCTGACCATTAGGTCCAGTTGTGGACGACTCTGGGGTTGCGTGTTCATCTCGCTCTGTAGGCCGAGGGAGCTGGCGTTTGTCTGCAGACAGCTTCCGGGTCATGTGGCCAGCATGACTAAGCCGCTTCTGGCGAACCAGAGCAGCACATGGAAACGCCGTTTACCTTCCCACCGGAGTGGTACCTATTTATCTATTTGCACTTTGACGTGCTTTCGAACTGCTAGGTTGGCAGGAACATTCCAGTTAGTGGGCCATTAATCATTATTCCCATGAGAGAGCTTGACCAATCAGGGAGCTGTCTCCATGCCTCTGTACAACCAGGCAGACTTACTCCTTTACATTGCCTTGGCTGTCGGCCAAACCCTTCTTGACTCTGTGTGTGTAGCTGCACATATACAGATTCCCAACAGAAGAACCATACCATCCATTAAGTATAGGGTCACTTCCTCTAGATTACTGGACTTAAGCTTGTGGGCTGGGACTATACCACCAGTAGTGTTGTAACGGTTAGAGTGCTGGACAGTGACTTGAGAGACCAAGGTTTGAATCCCCACTCAGCCAACCCTACCTGACAGGGTTGTCGTGAGGCTGAAATGGGGGCGTGGAGAATCATGAGCTCTTGGGAGGAAAAGTTGGGATATAAATGTTAAATTAAACAAATGGCCTGATCCAAAGTGGGTTGCATCAGGAGGACTACCGCCACAGGAAAAGATTCATAAAGGGGTCCCCAAATGCATGCTTGGGAGAGAAGAGTGGATTCTGGGTCAGAAAAAGTCAGGTGATGACTTCTCCAGTTGTCATTGGACTACAGCTCCCATCAGTCCCAACCGCCACGGCCAATGGTGAGGAGCGATGGAAGTTGAATAGGCCGCCTTCATTCTAATGTCTCAAGCAAAAGGTTGCATATTTGCATTTTACCTCACCCTGCCTCCTTGAAATACAGCCTTGCAGCCTGAATGTGTGTGCCACATTTAATTCCAATATTTTGATCTTCAATATAGTGGTCAGACTGGAAACCAACAAACCAAGAAGTTTACAAGCAGGGCTCCGGAAGAACCAAAGGCCTCAGGCCAATAAGCAACCACTAATAGCTTTGCAATCAGCTTCATTGGATTGCCATGAGTTCCAATGTTATGAGAGGGGGGACAGGACTTTTCTCTATCTACTCTCTCCATGCCATGCATGAGTCTATGGAGCTCGATCATGCCTAGGTAAAGGTAAAGGTTGTTGTTGTTTAGTCGTTTAGTCGTGTCCGGCTCTTCGTGACCCCATGGACCAGAGCACGCCAAGCACTCCTGTCTTCCACTGCCTCCCTCAGTTTGGTCAAACTCATGTTGGTAGCTTCGAGAACACTATCCAACCATCTCGTCCTCTGTCGTCCCCTTCTCCTTGTGCCCTCCATCTTTCCCAACATCAGGGTCTTTTCCAGGGAGTCTTCTCTTCTCATGAGGTGGCCAAAGTATTGGAGCCTCAGCTTCAGGATCTGTCCTTCCAGTGAGCACTCAGGGCTGATTTCCTTCAGAATGGATAGGTTTGATCTTCTTGCAGTCCATGGGACTCTCAAGAGTCTCCTCCAGCACCAGAATTCAAAAGCATAAATTCTCCGGCGATCAGCCTTCTTTATGGTCCAGCTCTCACTTCCATACATCACTACTGGGTAAAGGTACCCCTGACCATTAGGTCCAGTCGCAGACGACTCTGGGGTTGCGTGCTCATCTCGCTCTATAGGCCGAGGGAGCCTACGCTTTAGCTAAAAAGTCACAAATGCGGCAACCTTTCTTAATGGGGCAGTCTCTTGATCGCTTTGCCTGCCCTTTCCCAACTTTGCAGTATCCTTTTTGAGGTGAGGCAGCCAGAACAGCACACAGTACAGTGGTACCTCTGGTTGCGAACGGGATCCCTTCCACAGCCCCGTTCACAACCTGAAAGGAATGCAACCCGTGTCTGCGCAGACGCGGGTTGCAATTCGCTGCTTCTGCGCATGCGCGTGATGTCATTTTGGGTGTCTACGCATGCGTGAGTGGCGAAACCCGGAAGTAACCCTTTCTGGTACTTCCGGGTCGCAGTGGGACGTAACCTGAAAGTACATAACCTGAACCAAACATAAGAAGAGGTATGACTGTATTCTAAATGTGGTTGCACCCTAGATTTGCATAACAGCATTAGGATATCAGCAGTTTTATTTTTTATTCCTGCATTGCAGGGGGTTGGACTAGATGACCCTTGGGTCCCTCCCAACTCTAAGATTCCATGATTTTCAGTTCCATCCCTAACAATCCCTTTCCTAACGATCCCTAGCATGGGACCTGCTCAGACAATATGGAGATTAGTGTAGACCTATGGTCTGCCTTCATATAACCATCTGCTTCCTGAGCTTAGACCTGGGCCCTTAAAGAGATGGAAAATCAGGGGAGACGAGAGACATCATATGGCTTTTACAATTTTTTTCTAATGGCTAAGGTTCCTCCATTCTTCCACAAGCTCATTTTTGCTGCGTATGTCGCTACGCAGCACCATTAGCTTGTTTTTGGAACTAGCACACCTCACCACCTGCATTCTAGTAGTCGTGTCTCTGCAACATCAAATTAGCTCCAGCGTGATTTCTCTTGTGATTCTTTTGCAGCTTGCTCCACAAGGCAAGAGCACATAATGACAAAATAAATTACACACTGCATTTTTTATTTTTTAGTTCAAATGATGGCAAAGAGACTCTGCCGAACAGCAGCAATAGAAACGCTGGCTGGTTTCTCAGCTCTGGTTTGGCTGTGCCCATCTTGAGGGGAAAGATTCAGTGACATGTTCTAGACCTGCCTGACTTTGAACCCTTTCCAGGGACCCAATTTGCTACTGTCAATACTTTTTGTTCTCAAACAGTTATTTGCTCTTGCAGCTGTTAGAGATAAGGACTGGAAACGTGCAGTGCTACTACTACTACTACTACTACTACTACTACTACTATTATTATTATTATTATTGAATGTTTTTAATGTTTGATGTTCTATTGTGCTTTTAATTCTGTTGAGAGCCACCCAGAGTAGCTGGGGCAACCCAGCCAGATGGGCAGGATATAAATATTATTAGCCACCCATCTGACTGGGTTGTCCCAGCCACTCTGGGCAGCTCTCAAAAGAATATTAAAAACGCAATAAAACATCAGCCATTTAAAACTTCCCTATCAAAGGTAGCATTATTATCAATTTACGATGGACTGGAAGGTTCACAGGCTGTGAAGGACTTGCTCACATATTTATTGACAGCTGCACAAGTTATTATATTTAGGAAGTAGAAGGGGCAAGCAGAATATAAAATGGTATAAAGAGGTGTGGGATATTGCTATTAATTATAAATTAACATGTGCCATTAAGGTAAAACAGGAAATATGAGGGAGAAATGATTTTGATGAGATATGGAGGGTGTTTGTAGAATTTGTACAGTTAAACCAGAAAGGGGTCAAAGCATCGCAAGAGGTGTTGAAATTTCTGGAGCTTGGATAGTTACAATGGAATGGTATTGGTGGTGGGGTGCACATTTTTATTCTTATTCATTTATTACTATTACTTTGTCAAAATAAAAATAAAAAATTTAACACCCTCTCCACCCCCATCGTTCATCCCAGACACTGAGATCCAGCACCGAGGGTCTTCTGGTGGTTCCCTCATCGTGAGAAGTGAGGTTACAGGGAACCAGACAGAGGGCCTTCTCGGTAGTGGTGCCCACCCTGTGGAACACCCTCCCTTCAGATGTCAAGGAAATAAGCAGCTATCCTATCTTTAAAAGACATCTGAAGGCAGCCCTGTTCAGGGAAGTTTTTAATATTTAATGCTGTACTGTTTTTAACACTTGATTGGGAGCCGTCCAGAGTGGCTGGGGAAACTCAGCCAGATGGGCGGGGTATAAATAAATTATTATTATTATTATTATTATTATTATTATTATTATTATTATTACTACGATGCAGTGCTGACGACTACTTTCGTTTTCTGTACCATTTGACGCTACAGACTAACACAGGGGCAGAGGAAGGGGTTGGGAAATTTCCTTGCATTGCTTTCCACTTCCGCCAATATAGAGGGGTCCCGTGATCGACCATGATTGACACTGATCTTCTGAGGATACACCTGTCGATCGCGGTCAACCGGTTGGACATCCCTGTTGTACTACAATTCCCACCAACCCCAGCTAGCCTGGACAATGGCCAGGGCCCCTAGTGTTGCAGTCCAGCCATTCTTGGAGGGGAGCATGTTGACTGCCCATGTTCCAGAGAATGTATTTTGCAGGCAACTGAGCTACTGCAGGCGCAGTTCTGCTCGATTATGGAGAAGTTATATTTGCCAAGAATCAATGTTGTTTCATTTTTTCTCACCTCTCAGCAGCCCTTGAAGGATTTTTTTTAATGTTCTAAAATGTCATTGTTTTCAGCGCACAATGCTTGGGGGGATGTCTTTATTTGAGTCTCAGTTATTGCCAAGTCCCTTCTCTGCCATCCAGTTTGCTCCTGGTGATTAACCTTTGCAAAGTATGTGTGGGTCTTCGTTAACTACTGGAAAAAAAGAAAAGCATCATGATTGTGATTGTTAATTATTTACATAGAGCCGCCCAGGGGCACAGCGCTGCCAATAAAAGAGATCCTTTGTAAGAGCAACAAAGTGAGTTGCATCTGCGAGTCGTAGTATTTAAAGCTGCAGGCTTGAAGGGCTTAACTGGCAAATTATTTATTTACTTGCAGTTTTCTTCCCCTGCTGTTTTAGCTGCCGTCCCCAAAGGCAGTTCACAATAACCAATAATGAGGCAGTCCCTGCTGTGGGGTTTGCCTACCAAAAGCCATGACAAGAAAGGAAAAAGGGTTGGGAGGGAGAAGAAAAAAAGCAAACTTGGGCTCTAGTTCTTCGTTACAAAGTTCTGGTAATAATAATAATGATAATAATAATAATAATAATAATAATAATAATAATTTTATTATTTATACCCCGCCCATCTGGCTGGGCTTCCCCAGCCACTCTGGGCGGCTTCCAAAAAAATATTAAAATACTGTAATACATCAAACATTAAAAGCTTCCCTAAACAGGGCTGCCTTCAGATGTCTTCTAAAAGTCTGGTAGTTGTTGTTCTCTTTGACATCTGGTGGGAGGGCGTTCCACAGGGCGGGTGCCGCTACCGAGAAGGCCCTCTGCCTGGTTCCCTGTAACTTGGCTTCTCGCAGTGAGGGAACCACCAGAAGGCCCTTGGTGCTGGACCTCGGTGTCCGGGTAGAACGATCGGGATGGAGACGCTCCTTCAGGTATTCCGGACTGAGGCTGTTTAGGGCTTTAAAGGTCAGCACCAACACTTTGAATTGTGCTCGGAAACGTACTGGGAGCCAATGTAGATCTTTCAAGACTGGTGTTATATGGTCTCGGTGGCCGCTCCCAGTCACCAGTCTAGCTGCTGCGTTCTGGATTAGTTGTAGTTTCCGGGTCACCTTCAAAGGTAGCCCCACTTAGAGCACATTGCAGTGGTCCAAGCGGGAGATAACCAGCGCATGCACCACTCTGGCGAGGCAGTCCGCAGGCAGGTAGCCTGCGTACCAGATGGAGCTGGTAAACAGCTGCCCTGGTAACTGTGTTTTTTCTAACAGGGTTGAGTGCAGAAAGCTCTCTGCAGTTGCTTCGTGTCACGGTTCTCTCTTCCAAGTCGTATGCTAGAGCTGTAACTCTGTGGGGATGTGCATAAAACTAGGATAGGATATACCGTATTTTTCCGTGTATAAGACGACCCCTATTTTTTCAGCCCAAAGTTAAGAAATAAATAATCGCAACTTTCTGTGTATAAGACGATTCCCAATTTTAAACTTAAAATTTTTGGAGGGAAATATAGTCTTATACATGGGAAAATACAGTTATTTCTTAGATATTATCTTTCCCTACTCACATTTGCGAGTTCAGCAGAGTACATCACTTTGTCGGCAAAAATAAGGGAGCTGTTGATGTGCTAGCTTTAGCTTTTTAATTTAAGTAATCCAGGATACTTTGCTGCAGACTGGGTTTCCTGGTCTTTCTCTCCCTTAGAACAATAAAAACGCGAAGCAGTCTTCTTATAAGAAAAGGCAGATTCACTCGCCCAGTGTCACAGTAGCAGTCTTGAGGCAGGCTTAAAATGTAGTTACAGAAAAATATTATAGTTTAGATTAGGATTGGGGTCTGAGCTGTGACTCAGACTCAACACATGTCCTACATCCCTAGTCATTGATGGAGCATCAAAGAGAAGAGATCAGATAGCAGGGATCAGAGAGAGAGAGCAGGCTGGGGATGTGAATCAGTTTATATAGGTTGTGCCTCTTTACCTGGCTGGACACAGTGGGAGTGACTCTCACAGGGAGGATGTCTTACAGACCCCGTGAGATCCAGTTACCTCTCTGTGTGTACCTTTCTAGCATTCAGAAGTAGTTGGTTTTGGCTGCCTTCTTTTAGATATCCCACAAACTTGGTGACAGAGTGTCTGCTTTGCACGCAGAAGAACCTGAGTTCAATCCCTCAGCATCTTGAGGTGTGGCTGGGAAAAGCTCCTGCTTGAAACCTTGGAAAGGCACTGCCAGTTACCAAGGATAGGACTAAGCTGGATGGACTAATGATCTGGCAAAATATGATGCTGGTTTGCTCATTTCTATATACAGTGGTACCTTGGTTATCAAACTTAATCCATTCCGCAAGTCTGTTCCAACACCGTTCCAAAACCAAAGCGTTCCAAAACCAAGGTGCACTTTCCCATAGAAAGTAATGCAAAATGGATTAATCTGTTCCAGGCTTTTAAAAACAACCCCTAAAACAGCAATTTAATTTCACTGTTAATATACTACTTCTTCTTCATTGTATTTCAGTTCAACAATTACTTTGATAAAATAACGTATTGTGTTATGTGCAAATGGCTTTAGATACCTCTTAGGTCCATAAATTACCATACAGCATATATTTGACACAAAAAACAGTGGCAATTTGTTGTTGACAAAGGACAGCTGGACATATAAAGGGCCCCATTACCTTCAGTAGTTTGGGGCCTCATCAAACCTAAATCTGGCCCTGGGTTGGCCACTGAGAGAACAGGGTGTTCGGCGAGATGGGCCCTTGGTCTGTTCCAGCTCTTCTTGTGTTCTTTTGTTATTGTTCCAGCTAACTCTGGCTCACAAGCTCTCAGGTCTCTTGAACTCTCTGACAAGCATTTATATTTCCAAGGCAACTTATAATTCCATCATTTTGTAACAATAGCAAAGTAATTGAGGGGCTTGCAATTAGCATAACTATCAAGTCTGATTCACTCAGGTCTGATTACAGCTATGAGGGGGCCCTGGGCAAGGTGCCTCCCCCACCAAAAAAAAGCACTTCTAGATAGGGAAAATTTCAATGTAGTTTTACTTTTGCATATTTTGAAATGATATAGACACTGAAACGCAGCCAGCCTTGAAAAGCCACAATTCTGCAAATTTTGCAGTGCAGTTTTCTAACCAAGTAATGCGTACAACAAGGCATATACTAGGATAAAGTGTGCATATCTATGTATAGATTAGTGAAGATAAGATACCAGGGAGCTTTGTTTTGCAAAAACATGTACAGTGGTACCTCGGGTTACATACACTTCAGGTTACAGACACTTCAGGTTACAGACTCCACTAACCCAGAAATAGTACCTCAGGTTAAGAACTTTGCTTCAGGATGAGAACAGAAATCGCGTGGTGGTGGCATAGCGGCAGCAGGAGGCCCCATTAGCGAAAGTGGTGTTTCAGGTTTAGAACAGTTTCAGGTTAAGAACAGACCTCCAGAATAAATTAAGTTCTTAACCCGAGGTACCACTGTATGTTAGGGGGAAACTGCACACACAAATGTGCATGTTAGGAGAAATGTGTACCAAAACGCTGACAAATTTTCAAGGGGCTTAAAAAAATAAACCACAAGCAGATGTGAAATGTGAAAAACTGAAGACTTTGGAGATGGGCAACAGAGAGAAACTGAAATCCTGTGAAGAGATCCAAGATTTAGAACCTCAAAGCCAAAGTGAGAGCATTTGGGTCAAAATTAAGGGAGAGAAGAATAACAGTGACCTCGTTGTGGGAGTTTACTATAGATCCCCAAGCCAAACGGAGGACATGGATGATGCCTTCCTGGAACAGATGGCCAAGCATGCAAAAGGAAGGGAGATAGTAGTAATGGGGACTTCAATTACCCGGATATTTGTTGGATGTCAAACTCAGCCAAGAGCATAAGGTCAAACAGATTCCTCACTGGCCTTGCAGACAACTTCATTGTCCAGAAAGTGGGAGAAGCAACAAGAGGAACAGCCATTTTAGATCTGGTCCTAACCAATGTTGATGACCTGGTTAGTGGGGTAGAAGTGGAAGGATCATTAGGCACGAGTGATCATGCTCTTCTGAAGTTTACTATACAGCGGAAAGGAGCAGCCAAGCATACTAGGACTCAATTTCTTGACTTTAAGAAAGCCGACTTCATAAAACTTAGGGAAGTGCTGGGTGAGATCCCATGGACAATAATACTAAAAGGAAAGGGAGTTCATGATGGCTGGGAGTTTGTTAAGAGGGAGATACTAAAAGCACAACGTCGGGCAATACCAATGAGACGGAAACATGGAAGGTGCCTAAAGAAGCCAGGGTGGCTATCTAAAGAACTTTTAACTGAGTTAAGATTAAAAAGGATGTGTACAAAAAATGGAAAAGGGGAAACCACCAAAGAGGAATTCAAACAAATAGCCAGCACGTGTAGACACAAAGTCAGAAAAGCTAAAGCACAGAATGAACTCAGGCTTGCTAGAGAGGTTAAAAGCAACAAAAAAGGCTTTTATGGGTATGTTCGTAGCAAAAGGAAGAACAAAGAAACAGTGGGGTCACTCAGAGGAGAAGATGGTGAAATGCAAACAGGGGACACAGAAAGGGCTGAACTCCTCAATGCCTTCTTTGCCTCAGTCTTCTCCGATAAAGAAAACAATGCCCGACCTGAAGAATTTGGAGCAAATGATTCAGCAAAGGAAACACAGCCCAGAATAACTAAGGAGATAGTACAAGAATACTTGGCTAGTTTAGATGTATTCAAGTCTCCAGGGCCAGATGAACTGCATCCAAGAGTATTAAAAGAACTGGCAGATGTGATCTCAGAACCACTGGCAGTCATCTTTGAGAATTCCTGGAGAACAGGCGAAGTCCCGGCAGACTGGAGGAGGGCAAATGTTGTCCCTCTTGTCAACACAGGGAAAAGAGAGGACCCAAATAATTACCGCCCAGTCAGTCTGACATCAATACCAGGGAAGATTCTGGAGCAGATCATTAAGCAAACAGTCTGTGATCACCTAGAAAGGAATGCTGTGATCACCAATAGTCAGCATGGATTTCTGAAAAATAAGTCATGTCAGACTAACCTGATCTCGTTTTTTGACAGAATTACAAGCCTGGTAGATGAAGGGAACGCAGTGGATGTAGCCTACCTTGATTTCAGCAAGGCATTTGACAAGGTGCCCCATGATATTCTTGTAAAGAAGCTGGTAAAATGCGGTCTTGACTATGCTACCACTCAGTGGATTTGTAACTGGCTGACTGACCGAACCCAAAGGGTGCTCATCAATGGTTCCTCTTCATCCTGGAGAAGAGTGACTAGTGGGGTGCCACAGGGTTCTGTCTTGGGCCCGGTCTTATTCAACATCTTTATCAACGACTTGGATGATGGACTCAAGGGCATCCTGATCAAATTTGCAGATGACACCAAACTGGGAGGGGTGGCTAACACCCCAGAGGACAGGATCACACTTCAAAATGACCTTGACAGATTAGAGAACTGGGCCAAAACAAACAAGATGAATTTTAACAGGGAGAAATGTAAAGTATTGCACTTGGGCAAAAAAATGAGAGGCACAAATACAAGATGGGGGACACCTGGCTTGAGAGCAGTACATGTGAAAAGGATCTAGGAGTCTTGGTTGACCACAAACTTGACATGAGCCAACAGTGTGACATGGCAGCTAAAAAGCCAATGCAATTCTGGGCTGCATCAATAGGAGTATAGCATCTAGATCAAGGGAAGTAATAGTGCCACTGTATTCTGCTCTGGTCAGACCTCACCTGGAGTACTGTGTCCAGTTCTGGGCACCACAGTTCAAGAAGGACACTGACAAACTGGAACGTGTCCAGAGGAGGGCAACCAAAATGGTCAAAGGCCTGGAAACGATGCCTTATGAGGAACGGCTAAGGGAGCTGGGCATGTTTAGCCTGGAGAAGAGGAGGTTAAGGGGAGATATGATAGCCATGTTCAAATATATAAAAGGATGTCACATAGAGGAGGGAGAAAGGTTGTTTTCTGCTGCTCCAGAGAAGCGGACACGGAGCAATGGATCCAAACTACAAGAAAGAAGATTCCACCTAAACCTTAGGAAGAACTTCCTGACAGTAAGAGCTGTTCGACAGTGGAATTTGCTGCCAAGGAGTGTGGTGGAGTCTCCTTCTTTGGAGGTCTTTAAGCAGAGGCTTGACAACCATATGTCAGGAGTGCTCTGATGGTGTTTCCTGCTTGGCAGGGGGTTGGACTCGATGGCCCTTGTGGTCTCTTCCAACTCTATGATTCTATGATTCTATGATTCTATGATTCTATGAAATCGACATATTCAGTCATCTCTAGTGTCTCACAGCATCCTAGAGGAAGAATTTAAACGACTGGTGCCAACTTATGTGTAAAGCTTAACCCACAAAAATCATTGAAAGAGAGTTCTTGGTTTGCTAAAAGGTTTCCGTTTGATTCGATTTTATGTTTATGGACTCCTCGTGCCGATGCCATTAGGGCAAAGTGATAAATCAAAGATAAACGGCCCACTAGCCTGCAGTCTTGTCTTCGGGAAGCTGGATTCTCAGGCGTCTATGGAAGATGCTGGACATCAAGGCAGGATTGGAGGGTGTGTGATGCCACAACCTGGCTGAAGCTACATCAGCAGGTCTGGAACACAGGGTGCTGTTTTCTACTGAGTGAGGCCACTGGTCCATTCACCTCCGTATTGTCGACACTGAACGGCATCAAATCTCTAGGGTTTCAGAAAGGGGAGATTCCCAGTTCTTTCTATTCAGAGATGCCGGGGACTAAACGCAGGGCCTTCTGCATGCAAAGCAAATTCCCTACCACTGAGCTAGAGCTCCCAAGGCAGGTTCCAACACGAGTTCTCGGAGAACTCCCTTCTAGTGCTGTTCAGAAAAGGGTCAGTTATTGCAAGTGGCTTTTTAAAGAAAGCTCTCACCAGAAGTGTGTGTGTGTGTGTGTGTGTGTGTGTGTGTACACACACACACACACACACACACACACACACACACACAAACAGAGTGAGGGGGGAAGTATTTTTATTATTATTAAAGATTTTCTTGTTTTACAGAAGTAAGTGTAATGTCTCTCGTATTTTTTCCATGTAACATTTTTACAAATCCGTTTCATTTGTTGAGACATTAGGGGGAGAAAAAAAAAGGGGGTGGAGGGAGGGAAGATGGGTGGGGGTGGGGTCGGGGGTGATGTTCCTATTACGCTTAATGTATGTAGGGTTTGGTGTCAGCGTTGCTTGTGCTGTTCACTTGCGTTCCTTTGGTGGTGAGAGAGGTTGGGGTTGGCCTAGGGTGTGGTTGTTTGTTTGTGATTGGCTGTGGTGATCTTTGTTTTCGTGTGTGAGTGGGGTGGGTGGGTGTTTTGGATCAGGTTAGCCATATTGATTTGTACGCTGTTGGTGGATTTTTGTCATTGTCTTGTTGGGCTGTGTATGTGATAAAGGGGAGCCATACCAGGGTAAAGGCGTCTTCTTCTGTTTGTCCCCGTGTCAGTTTCAGTTTATTGGTTAATTTTTCTAGTAGGGCTGTTTCCCATACTATTTGGTACCATTGGTCCATGCTTACTCCTGACAGGTCTCTCCAGTGTCTGGTGGGGGAAAAGTATTTGATGCCCTTCTAAATTTGCCCATTAGCCATCTGACGAAGAAATGACCAGTCCATAATTTTAATGGTAGGTTTATTGTAGCTGTGAGAGACAGAATATCAACAGGAAAAACCCCAGAAACCCAGAAGACAGAAGTCAGAGATTGATGTACATTATAATGAGTGAAATAAGTATTTGATCCCTTTGCAAAAGATGCCTTAGTACTTGTTGGCAAAACCCTTGTTGGCAAGGTCAGATGTTTCTTGTAGGTGGCCACCAGGTTTGCACACATCTCAGGAGGTATCCCACTCCTCTTTGCAGATCCTCTCAGTAAGGATTCGAGGCTGATGTGTAGCTACTCAAACCTTCAGCTCCCTCCACAGATTTTCGATGGGATTAAGGTCTGGAGACTGGCTAGGCCACTCCAGGACCTTCATGTGCTTCTTCTTGAGCCACTCCTTGGTTGCCTTGGCCTTTTCTTCCTCTTAAGAGCGCAAAACTGATTTATAGTGTTTGCTGCAGTATATCAGAGTGTGTCTGTGTAGCTCTGCATGAGTACTAGGGCAGAACTTTAGTACTCCAAGGAGAATTTGGTTTGATTGACAGCCAATTGCCACTTCTGCTTCTCCCAGGTGCACGAAACAGCCTAGAATGGGGGCGAGGAAGTGTTTTTCAGTATTTTGTGTTCGTGTATTTTGTGTTTTTCATCTTGCATTTTTATGGTGTGAACCGCTCTGGGATTTGCAGGTGAAAGGTGGTGTACAAATTTAATTAATCAATTGATCGATTAATTAATTAATTAGCAGTGATCATTTGAACACCGGATGCTAGATTCTTGGGTGCCATTCTCAAACAACAGGTCCTTCAATATGGGAGCATTGATCAGAGGTAATGTTGGTTGTACAAATGCCAGCCCAGGAAGAACACAAGAAACAATGACCTTCCAAAACAATGTGCTTTTTTATGGCCAAAATATAATTGGATCCTAAGGGAAACATTGCATGCATTAAGTTTGCTGAAAAAATTAAGTAGGGGAAGTAAATGAAAGAGTTCTTGGTATAACTGAGTCACAATTGGAGTTCAGGAGCTGACTGCATTCCAAGAAAGGCATCTGGAAAGGCTATGCCAATACTTGTGGTGAAGAACTCTATGTGCAAAGTAAGACATTTTAATAAATCTGTTCTAGGCCTGCGCTGGAGCTCACTTATTATTTACCAGAGGCACCAGCTTGCAAGAGGGGCCAGGGTGGATCCAAACTTGGTGGTCTGTCAGGCTTTGGGGAAGCAGATCCCTCCCCTGGTGGCAGTAAATAAGCGGATCAAATGAAAAGAGCATTTTTACCAGATTACTAGATAAGTTCTTTAATAATCACAGCAAGAGACAAAGGAATACATATCTCTCTAAAAATGGCGTTGCTCCCAGTAAAGGTTTACCCCCTCCATCCCCATTAATCTACATCAGGCACATCCAAGTCTCTAGAGACTGCAATCTACCCCCAGTATAATAAAACTGGCAGTGATCTACCCATTGTCATTGCCCATAGTTGAGCTTTTTTTTTTAGGGGAGAGGGAGCAGAGTTGTTGAGCTATTTTTATGAAGGCTTGACAAGAGTTATTGAGCTTTTTTGGGGGGGGAGGGACCACAGTTGCCCAGCTTTCTTTGGGAAGGATTCCATAAATTCGCATTGCGAGCACTCAGGAGCAACCGGGCGATCCCTTTTTTAAATCCCGCGATCAACCTGGAGACCTGGCAATACACCTGTCGATCACAGTTGGACATTGATGTCCAAAGTCCATACCGGGGGCCTAATCCAGCCCGGCGGTTGGTCTAATCCAGCCCCTGTGGCAGTTTATTTCCTGGGGTAAAATTCCCCCCCCCCAAAAAGCACTAGATGACCCTTGGGTCCCTTCCAACTCTACAGTGCCATGATTCTATATAATAGTCATAATAGCATGGCCAAGCATTATATTAGGGGAAGTTGCTTTGAAAAAAATGTGTATATTAGGCAAAAGTTCGCAATGAAAATTCAGATGAATTTTTTTTGGGGGGGGAATAATTAATTGCAAATTAATGTAGAGGACTGAACTGGAAAAATGGAAAGGAATTACAATTTGACAGATCTGCATGCCTCATAGCTTAGGAGCAAATGTCAAATTTGCAACTGTTTGGCAAATTTTGAACTGTGCCCAGATGCAAGCCTTTTTTTTTTTTTTAACCCCCACCTTTTTATTTGCATACGCCAGTATTTGAGAAGCAAGGATCAATGACAATGTGGAAAAGGCAATTATCTTAGGTATATTTCAAACAGCCTGTGGAGGACTATCTGGCAGAAAAATCTCTTTCTGCAAAAGCACCAGTTTGAAGGAGGGCAGGTGTTTATGCAAGGGTTCAGCTATAATGGTGCAGTCAGCTCATTACATAACCCAAAGCAGGGTGCGCTCTCTCTCCCCCTCTCCCCAACATCTCCTCTTGCAATTTAAGGGCATTGTTTTAATAGCAAAATGTAGCCTTTCGTACACGGAGGATTATGCTGAATTTATTGGGAGGGCAATTTAAGCGCCAGAGGGATAGTTTGTTTTAAAGGCCGGCTTGCAAATCAAAGCGAAGCAACCTGAGAAAAACAGCCAGTTTAATAGCAGCTAAGAAGCTTCGCTTTGGGTCATCCATTAGCCGTCCCAAGACTTCCAATTAATAAAACGAGAGGAAGGTTTTCGTGAGAAATAAGGGGAATAAAAGAGCCAGAAGCTGGATTTTGTGAGCACTCGCAGCCTTGAGTTATTTCGTTCACTTTGCTGGCCCACAGGGGCAGAGCTAGGATGGGGGCAGGAGCTGAAAGACTGAACAGGGAAGCAAGAAGTTTGGGGAATTCAAATGTTGCCTCTGCCATGAATAAACTATGCAGCTTGAAGCAAAACCATTGCCTGTCAGCCTCTGTCACCCAACTCTGAGCTGCAAAACGGGGATAACCATACTGACTTGCATTGCAGAGGTGTTGTAAAGATCACTGAGATAATGAAGGCGAAATAAAAAAATAAATAAATAAATAAATAAATAATACCCCGCCCATCTGGCTGAGTTTCCTCAGCCACTCTGGGCTGCTCCCATTCGAGTGTTAAAAACAATACAGCATTAAATATTAAAAGCTTCCCTAAACAGGGCTGCCTTTTAAAAATAAGATAGATGCTTATTTCCTTCACATCTGAAGGGAGGGTGTTCCTCAGGGTGGGCACCACTACTGAGAAGGCCCTCTGCCTTGTTCCCTGCAACCTCACTTCTCGCAATGAGGGAACTGCCAGAAGGCCCTCGGCGCTGGACCTCAGTGTCTGGGCAGAACGATGGGGGTGGAGACGCTCCTTCAGGTATACTGGGCCAAGGCTGTTTAGGGCTTTAAAGGTCAGCACCAACACTTTGAATTGTGCTTGGAAATGTACTGGGAGCCATGCTTTTTAAAACCATGAACTGGAGGTTTTTAAGCAGAGGTAAGGAAAGTCATAGTACCACTGCCTTGGTCAGACCATACCTGCAATACTGCGTCCAGTTCTGGGCATCACAGTTTAAGAAGGATATTGAAAAGTCGGAAGATGTTGCAGAGGAGGGTGACCAAGATGATCAAGGGTCTGGAAACCAAGCCATATGAGGAATGGTTGAAGGAGCAGGGCATGTTTAGCCTGGAAAAGAAGAGACTGAGAGGAGATATGATAGCCCTCTTCAAATATCTCAAGGGCTGTCATGTGGAAGAGGGAAGAAGCTTGTTTTCTCCTGCTCTGGAGGGTAGGACTCGAACCAACGACTTCAAGTTACAAGAAAGGAGATTCCGACTGAATATTCGGAAAAACTTTGTGACAGAGCTGTTTAGCAAAAAGAGCTGTTTAGCAGTGGAACAGACTCCCATGAGAGGTGGTGGACTCTCCTTGCTTGGAGGTTTTTAAACAGAGGTTGAAGGGCCATCTGTCATGGATGCTTTAGCTGAGATTCCTGCATTGCAGGGGGTTGGACTAGATGACCCTCGGGATCCCTTCCAACTCTACAATTCTACGGTTCTCTGTATATCTGACGAATGACTCAGCTGTTCTCCTTTGCCTGTGCAACAGCAGGCAGTTGACACCTCAGCGGAGCTTTGCCAACCTCCTTCAGCCGTTCCTCAACAGACACTTCTTATTTTTAGTCCCTTGTGATCTTGCAGTGCCACTGGCTGTGTATAAAATTTAAATCCTTCGCTCAGCATTTCCAGCATTGCCCAGTGAATTTCTCAACATTTCCCTAATTTTCACAAGTCTGTAATACCACTGAAACTGAATCTTGTGCAAAAATGATAAATAAACAAGAATTAAAAACAAGAACAACTAAGAATCTTACAGCGCAAGCCGTCATGCCACCATTAGACTTGTTTCCTGCACTAATTCTACTGTGGAATGTGAGCTTCTAGAAGCCAATCCTATTCCGTGTGAAGGTTACTGTATTACTGTATTTTAATATTTTGTTGGAAGCCGCCCGGAGTGGCTGGGGAAGCCCAGCCAGATGGGCGGGGTATAAATAATAAATAATAATAATAATAATAATTATCATTGGCTGTGGGAAGCCCTGCTGTTGATTGGCTGCCGCTGCAGCATTAGGGCGGGTGATTGGCGGCTGCTGGTGGTGAGCGGGCAGACAATTGGTGGCTGTGTGCGATTTGCAGCTCAACAACTCTGGGCAATCATCCCCCCCCCCCCAAAAAAGCTTAACAACTCTACGCAATCTCCCCCCATTTTCTTAATTTGGAGTCCGTCTTATACATGGGGGGGTGTTATACACGGAAAAAATACAGTATATTTTTAAGTACAACGTTGCAGTCTGAGGCTGCTGTGCTGGGCCCATTTACCTGGGAGCAAGCACCCACTGGATTTAATGGGGCTTGCTTCCTCATAGACAGGATTGCCCTGTACATTAGGCAAAATAGCCTTGAGTAACCCACAGCTTCCCTTCTGCCTCTCTGCCCCTCCGGACAACTTTGACTGGAAGCTTTGAAATCCCCTTATCATTACTTAATCCAGTTCCTGGCAGTTTTCTGCCTGCATTTTGTAAATAATTTTATGTAACATATGATCCTCTATAGTTGCTACATTTGGGCAACCGAAATGCCCCGGCCCCTTTGAACAATTCTGCTTGCTCACTTTTGATGGGTGTGGAATATTTATAGTCTGTGTTATGTAATGAGGATTACTTACTTTTGTTCAACCAAGTCTGTGTCCCATTTGCAAAACGGAAAAGGGGAAGGGTGGGGGAGAGAGAGAGAGAGAGAGACTCATCTCAATATGCTGTTTCATTTAATGCATTTGATGTTTTCAAACCTAATTGGAGCTTGGGGGGTTCTCAACTTGCAGTTTTTCAGCAGACACGTCTCCCCCAAATCAGATTTAATTATTTGAGGTAAGCGGGAGGGGGGGGAGGTGAAATTCAATACAGGAAAATAAAAGAGGTGTTGTTGTTCAAATAACCTGCAGGCAGCACTTCCAACATCTCGTTCTCCATTGGACCACATCAGTGAGGCCAAGGGGGGGGGGGTCCTTGTCGCCTGGGCAGCCCAAGACCTCCATACACACTGTCCAGGCTTGCATCTGGGAGAGGTCGCTTCAGTGCAGCTAACACAGTGGTTTGACTTCACCCCCAGAGGCATACTCCATTTCCTCCAAAAGGATGCCAGATGCTCTTTGAGGAGGCAAGACCTCCATACCTCCAAGAGCCAGTGTGGTGTAGTGGTTAAGAGTGGTAGACTCGTAATCTGGTGAACCGGGTTCACTTCCCCGCTCCTCCACATGCAGCTGCTGGGTGACCTTGGGCCAGTCACACTTCTCTGAAGTCTCTCAGCCCCACTCACCTCACAGAGTGTTTGTTGAGGGGGGGGAAGGGAAAGGAGAATGTTAGCCGCTTTGAGACTCCTTCGGGTAGTGATAAAGCGGGATATCAAATCCAAATACATACACATTGCCCTGGGGAGGTTGCTGCTGACGCAGCCAAAAACCAATGCAGGAAGCATCTGTTATGAGTTACCGGTCTCTGCAGCCACAGCAGGTGCTGTGATTCTACAGTGGTTTGAATTCACCCTGGGAGGTGCGCTCCATTGTCTCTCGAGACAGCTGAGTGCTAGCTAGGCCACTTTAGGGAGGTGAGAATCCTTGCCTGAAAGGTAGCCCATCCCCTCTTGCACCTGGTCCCACCCACCAATGGAATGTGGCCCCCGGAAGGTTCCCCGCATGGGAATGTGGTCCTTCATGAGATCTTAAGAATGGGGCGAGATGGTAGATGAAGAAGCGCTCTGGATGTAGGACCCCAGCTGGCTATCTGGGAGTACAGTGGTACCTCGGGTTACAGACGCTTCAGGTTACAGATGCTTCAGGTTACAGACTCTGCTAACCCAGAAATAGTACCTCGGGTTAAGAACTTTGCTTCAGGATGAGAACAGAAATTGCGCGGTGGTGGCGTGGCGACAGCGTTGAGGCCCCATTAGCTAAAGTGGTACCTCAGGTTTAGAACAGTTTCAGGTTAAGAACGGACCTCCAGAACAAATTAAGTTCTTAACCCGAGGTACCACTGTATTCCGCCTTGATGCCAGAACTGCTTCGCTTGACAAAACTGACTTCTGTGCGCAAGTTGCTCGTTTGGCTGGTGCAGGTTCTGTGTGAAATGAGACTAGTGTTGGGGTTAGGTTAATGTCCAGGACTGAATTACCTTTCATTACTTTAGAGGAACCCTGCGAGAAAGATTGAGGTTAGGATAACGGCTGCAGAGCATCTCACATTACTGCTATCTTCACCACCCCTGTGTTGTAGATAAAGAAACCTCCTCAGTTTTCCAGGGCTGACAACCGGTTAACTTTTACTTAACCTTCGCTGGCCGCACCGGCAACCTCCCTCTTCCTTCCTCACCCCAAGCCGCTTTCTAACCATCCCCCAAATAACCCTTAAACGTAAGCCACTTGGGAGGACAGGACCTCAGCGGCAACCCTTCTTCTTAACACACAAACCTGTGACAAAGGACCCGCCTTCTTAGACCCCCGCCCATGGGAAACAAATCCTGACAGCAAATTCCCATCACATTAATGACTGTTGATCTTGCCATACAGCGTAGTTTTTCTCCATTTCCCTTGAGAAGGTGTCTATGCAGCAATTAATTTAGTTCTCCCCCGCCCTCGTCCTTTGGGGCTTAACTTTTAACTCTGGGCTCCTCGTTTTGAAATGTTTCTCTCTGTGTGGGAGCCTGTAATCTCAAGGAAGCCAAAGGAACAACAAACGGGAGCTTGTTCTATTATTAGGATTCTTTTCTTTTTCTTGTAAGAGAAACTTCGTCTAATTTCCCATGGAGCAGATTCTCTTGTGGGCTTGGGGACTGTTGCCCTTTCATTTGGTTGGATGTCCATCTTAGACAAAGTGAAAGTCCATCGCAATTTCAAACGTTTGCAAAATATCAACTTGTGGAGAGAAGCTTGTTTCCTTTCCGTTCCTCTCTTTTAACATTCATTTTACACCAGTAATATAGGTTGCTTTTTTGGCCGAGGGAGCCGGCGTACAGCTTCCGGGTCATGTGGCCAGCATGACTAAGCCGCTTCTGGTGAACCAGAGCAGCGCACAGGGTGGCGCTGTGGGTTAAACCACAGAGCCTAGGACTTGCCGATCAGAAGGTTGGCGGTTCGAATCCCCGCAACGGGGTGAGCTCCCGTTGCTCGGTCCCTGCTCCTGCCAACTTAGCAGTTCAAAAGCACATCAAAGTGCAAGTAGATAAATAGGTACCACTCCGGCGGGAAGGTAAACGGCATTTCTGTGCACTGCTCTGGTTCGCCAGAAGCGGCTTCGTCATGCTGGCCACATGATCCAGAAGCTGTACGCCGGCTCCCTCGGCCAGTAAAGCGAGATGAGCGCCGCAACCCCAGAGTTGGCCACGACTGCAACTAATGATCAGGGGTCCCTTTACCTTTACCTTAATATAGGTTGCATCAGTTTGACCATAAACATAAACCACTTTTTTTCCATTTAATAAAAAATAAAAAAACCATCTGTTTTCCGTAGCTGAGAATCAAAAGTGGGGAAACTCCTCGTGTCCTGCTTTCCATTTGGTCAGACCGTGTGAAAAGAGGTTTCTGGGCTCTTCTTATATTCAACAGATTGCATAAAGTGGGTCTGAAAAACTACTCATATTAGAAGAACATAATTGCATTTTTTTCCCTGCAAGCAAAAGGAAGAACTAAATAATTTGTTTTCCACCCCCCGCCCCTCAAATTAGATCCATGGTAAAAAAAGGGAAAAGGTAAAGTTAAAAGACAGAGCGTTGCACCCGATCGGGGCCACGGCCGAAAAAGCCCTGGCTCTGGTTGAGGCCAGCCTAACCTCCCTGTGGCCTGGGATCTCCAAGATGTTTTTATTTGAAGACCATAAGGTCCTCCGTGGGACATACCAGGAGAGGCGGTCCCGTAGGTACGAGGGTCCTAGGCCGTATAGGGCTTTAAAGGTTAAAACCAGCACCTTAAACCTGATCCTGTACTCCACTGGGAGCCAGTGCAGCTGGTATAGCACCCTGTGAATGTGATCCCATGGCTCCCCGTAAGGAGCCTCGCCGCAGCATTCTGCACCCACTGGAGTTTCTGGATCAGTCTCAAGGGCAGCCCCATGTAGAGTGAGTTACAAGTGGTGGACTTCCTATTCAGGAAAAACAGGCATATCAAGGACTTATAATACTGGAAATGACCTTAAAACCAGTGCCAGTTCATGGGGAATATTAAGATGGGAAATTATTTTAGTGGGAATTGTTTTCCAGAGATAAGTCTGGGAATAAGATGCAATAGGAATCTGCCTTCTTGTTCTCTGATCCTTCCTCTGAATAGTGCGTTCCCCATGAAATGTTTCCACGGGGCGGCACTCCTGTGACGGCTTTCAAGAGCCTCACCATGGAACTCACACACACTTCCTGTTTGCACATAAATCCTATCTTCTGCGTATGCTATCTTTAACTGAGATATTTATGTATGTGTGCATATGGTAGATACTGTTGGAATCTGCACGCCCTACGCCAAGATCTAATTTAAGTCTGCTGCAGCAACAATCTGCGCATTGGAATTAGACTTGTCACTGGAATTTTGCAGTGTACAACCAAATGTCTGCCGAACAGATAGATCGCAGGTGCAACATTTATTTATTTCATTTCATTAATGAAGCGCTTCCCACAAAGCATCCCAAAGCAATTAACAATAAAATCATGAAAACGGCAATGATAAAGACATCCATAAACACAATGCCAAGTCTAATACAGGCATAAAAATTTCCTCTTGCTCAGTAAGTTCCAAATAAAAAAATATTTTAAAAAATAGAGAAGACGCCTGTCCCATTTGTAATGGGAGTTCCAAAGGAAAGGTTCTAAAGACCCAATTCCTGCATCGTATGGAATGGAAGTCCTGATGAGATGGTGTCTGCAAGAGGTTCTCATCTTCAGAGCTTAGTGATCAACTGTTTATATAAGGGGTGAGTATATAAGGTCTCAGGGACGCGGGTGGCGCTGTGGGTTAAACCACAGAGCCTAGGACTTGCCAATCAGAAGGTTGGTGGTTTGAATCCCTGCGACGGGGTGAGCTCCCATTGCTCGGTCCCTGCTCCTGCCAACCTAGCAGTTCGAAAGCACATCAAAGTGCAAGTAGATAAATAGGTACCGCTCCGGCGGGAAGGTAAATGGCGTTTCAGTGTGCTGCTCTGGTTCACCACAAGCAGCTTAGTCATGCTGGCCACATGACCCGGAAGCTGTACGCCGGCTCTCTCGGCCAATAAAGTGAGATGAGCGCCGCAACCCCAGAGTCGTGCGCGACTGGGCCTAATGGTCAGGGGTCCCTTTACCTTTACCTATATAAGGTCTCACGAGGGACAATAGCTCAGTAGTCAAGCACATGTGTAGCCTACAGAGAAGTCAAGGAAATATAGTGGAGCATATGCCTCTTCTGATCTCATAAGAATATAAGAGCCTGCTGGATCAGGCCAATGACCCGTCTATTCCAGCATCCTGTTCTCACAGTGGCCAACCAGACTCTTAATCATCTTTGTTGCCCTCCTCTGCACATGTTCCTGGCAGAGGTGAGGTTGAAATGAAGTATTTCCTGTTTCATAGCTCCATCCCTTATTCATAAGCACATGGAAATCAGCCTATTCAATGTAATGTTCATCACCATTTTGCAGAAAGTAGGAGGGGTGAGCAAAAGAAGAGGCTGCTGTATCAGGCCAGTGGCCCATCTACTGCATCTCCCCGTTCTGACCAGACACCCACAAGCAGGATCTGGGCACAAGAGCAAGTCTCCGCTCCTGCTGTTTCCAGCAACTGGTTTTCATAAGCCTCCAGCCTCCAGCAGTTAAAGTAGAACATCGCCATTGTCCCGCATGGATTCATCTAGTCCTCTTTTTAAACCATCCAAGTTGGTGGCCATCACTGCGTCTTGTGTGCTGAGAGCCAGTGTGGTGTAGTGGTTAAGAGCAGTAGTCTCGTAATCTGGTGAACCGGGTTCGATTCCCCGCTCCTCCACATGCAGCTGCTGGGTGACCTTGGGCTAGTCACACTTCTCTGAAGTCTCTCAGCCCCACTCACCTCACAGTGTGTTTGTTGTGGGGGAGGAAGGGAAAGGAGAATGTTAGCCACTTTGAGACTCCTTAGGGTAGTGATAAAGCGGGATATCAAATCCAAACTCTTCATCTTTTTCTTCTTGTGGGAATGAGTTCCACAGTTTAACTATGCGCTGTATGAAGAAGTCCTATCTTTTGCCTGTCCTGAATCTTCCGACGCTCAGTTTCACTAGATGTCCCTGAGTTCTGTGTTGTTGTGAGAGAGGGAGAAAAAATAGTTTCTCTACTCACTGTCCCCATTCCGTCCAGAATTTTATGCATTTCTTCCTCCTCCTCCTCCTCCTCCTCCTTTGGCGATCCCTCGTAGCCAAGTAAAATTGTCTTCCATGAGCACGGTCTTAACGAGTCTGTAAGTGACTGTGGAGGCCAATTCTGGATCCACACGTCCTTCCACAGTGGGGACATTGGTTTCTGGGCAGGAGTTGATCATGGTGAAGGTTTGCTAAGCGTGCCGTCCTCTTAGCACATTTTCCCCTTGCATCCTGAGTTCAAGTGTCTTCAAAGCCCATGACACCTTTGGCAAAGGTGTCCAACTGGAGGGCTCGCAGGCCAGCGTTTCCCAGTTGTCTGTGTTTTTATTCTACCTTTTTTAAGATTTCCCTTGAGAGAGTCTTTAAACCTCTTTTGTTGACCACCAGCATTACACTTTCCATTTTTAAGTTTGGAATAGAGTAGTTGCTTTGGAAGACGATAATCAGGCATCCGTACAACATGACCAGTCCAACGAAGCTGATGTTGAAGAATCATCGCTTCGACACTGGTGATATTTGCTTCTTCCAGCATACTGGCATTACTTTGCCTGTCTTCACAAGTGATGTGTACAAATTTTTCAGAGACAAAGTTGATGGAATCTTTTGAGGAGGATATTGGCAGTCTGCATTCAGTTCCTTTCTTAAAGATTCCTAGCATGGAATTCTCCTTTTTCACAGCTGCTGCACACTCGGCACCAAACATTCCTTGCCATTATTGTTCTCCAAGAACTGTTGCCTCTTTTTAGCATATGTTCCTTTACATACCCTTTTTGCCTTAAAAACACGCTTTAATATTTTAAACATGATTTTATTCTTTTTTCTGGTTGTGTAGGAATCGCTGAGTATATTAATAATATTATTTTTTTTGCAAAGGGCCCCAAACCCCAGCTGGCAGCAGGAGCGGCGTGACACGTATAATTAAAAATATTATTTGCCATCCCCTGCAGCTTTCATTGTAGACTATGACAGCCAAATGAAAGCAAGAACAGCTCTTAATTGAAGATCCATGCGCACTCTATTTGGGTCATAGCAGGGAGATAAAAGCACCAGCCTGTTCCCCCCTGCCATAGACGCACACCCACCCACACCCTGCACACTTTTTGCTGTTTCAACTCATTACTAACAAACATGTTGTGGTTCTAAATTATGCTAAGTAGCTGCGTTAACTCCAGGCCATCACCCATGTCCTTACTGTAGTTGGAAGGCGGCTTGTGCGTGGTGCATTTTAATGAAGCCAAGGGGAGCTTTGATCACGGAGTTGATTTCCTAGATTAACTTTCAGTGTGTCAAATTCCCCCAGGACCCCCGCCCAGTCGCCATCGAAATCAGCCTTGCCTGCGACGAACTACGGTTTTGTGGAACGGGCAGAAACTTCTGGTTGCTGGCTCCAAAAGAGGCGAGGAACTGGGTGATGACTCTTTTGCCCTGAACCCCTGAATAGTTAGAATGGGGTTGTAGAACACCATCTGAACTAAAACATAGCCATCCTTTGAAATTTGCATCTCTTCCAAATTTTGTCATGCAGTTTTCCAGCCAAGTCATGTGTTCGAGATGCATACACTAAGGTAGAATACATATGTTAGTGAAAATAGCATGCAGCAATCATGCATTATATTATTTTATTGGGTGTGTGTATTGTGGGGAACTTTGCAAAAATGCATATTTTAGGAGAAAATTGCGTTCAGAAACATGTGCATGGGGAGAAATTTGCACTAAAATGCTGATGAGTTTTCCTGAAGACTCAAAAAAGAAAATGTAAACTGATGTGGAGAAGTGGACTTAAGGTTGGGAAAACGAGAAATCAAAATCAACAGATTCACCTATACCTAGGAATTGCTTCCACATAAATGCACATTGAACCAGGTGTGGGGATTCTGTTTCTTCCTTGCATAATCTGCAGCCGCATCAGCTTGCCACTGTTGGAAGCGCTACAAACAGGTTGATTGTGTGTCATGCTCAAGGATTATCATAATACACATCAACAGATGTCAATGCACTTCCTTCTTAACTTGATACTCTTCAACAAGAACAGGGCTGCTGCTGTACGTTCATCTCCTCTCAGCCTCCATCACTTCATTTCATTCTGCTGGGAAATGGATCACAATGCCTTCGCAGTGGGTTTGTGGGGGCTCCCAGAACCAAGTGAAATATCCCTTATCTCAACTGCAGGGAATCTGTAGCCCTCACTGTGTTGCTGGACTCCTATTATCCCTAAGCATTGGCCATGCCATCTGGGCCCCATGGGAAATGGAAACCTCAAGACTTGGTTGTTACAATATGCTCTATGTGGGGCACCCCTTTGGCCTGGACTTGGGAGCTCCAGCTGTTGCAAAATGCTGCAGCTATACTGTTTAAGGGAACAGATTATCACCAGCACAGAACTCCAGTGTTTTAAACCCTGCACTGGCTGCCCATAGGCTCCTGGGTCAGGTGGGATGCAGGTGGTGCTGTGGGTTAAACCACAGAGCCTAGGGCTTGCCGATCAGAAGGTCAGCGGTTTGAATCTCCACGATGGAGTGAGCTCCCGTTGGCCTGTCCCAGCTCCTGACAACCTAGCAGTTCAAAAGCACACCAGTGTGAGTATATAAATAGGTACCACTGTGGCGGGCAGGTAAACAGTTTTCCGTGTGCTCTGGCTTCCGTCACGATGTTCCGTTGTGCCATAAGTGGTTTAGTCATGACTCAGAAGCTGTCTGCGGACAAACGCCGGCTCCCTTGGCCTGAAAGCAAGATGGGCATCGCAATCCCATAGTCGCCTTTGACTGGACTTAACCGTCCAGGGGTCCTTTACCTTTTACCTTACCTGGGTCAGGTTCAATGTTATTGTATTAATTTACAAGGTCATTTATAATTTGGATCCAGGATACCTCAAGGACCACCTGATCACTTATATCCTTGCCTGATCATGAAGGCCCTTGAGGGGAATCACTCTCTTTGTTCTCAAATGGCTCAGATGCACAGTTCATACCCCCTCTTAGCTGTTTATTCAATATTGTGGGCACAATTTTATGGTACTCCCTTCCAGTTGGGGTCAGACAGGGTCACTCACTACTGGACACCTGGAACCTAATGAAGGCTTTATAGTTATTATTATTCAAGGAAGCATTTTAATTTGAATTCGATTTAATGGTTTTCATTAATTTATATTTATATTTATTTCATCTTACAAACCATTTAAAGACCATTACAGTTAAGCAGAACATAATTCCTTCAAATAAAGAAAGGTAAATAAGGATCTAGAGAGCCACAGATATCCTGCCTTGCTTCATCCTTGTAAGGAAATATTGTAGCACAACATATGGATGGTTGGAGACAGGAGCAAACAATGGATAAAATGAATTTGGATATCTGTCGCCACCCAATTTGGATATTGTATTCACTTGCAGAGAAAATACCAAAAAGAAACAAGGAGGAATTTCCCCCACTAAACCAACTTTTGCCAACCTAGTGCCTTTTTGGACTATAACTCCCATCATCCCTGACCGTTGGGCCTTGCTGGCTGGGGCTAATGGGAATTGGAATCCAACAACATCTGGAGGGACATCAGGTTGAGAAAGTTGCACTAAGCCCATGATATTTGGTCCCACTCAGAAAATATTTGCTCACCAAAGAAAGCTGTTTTGTTGGTTTGTTTCTTACTACATGTTGGATTTTTGTCCCTTGCAGATTATTTTCCGGAAAATCAGTGATGTCAAAAAAGAAGAGGAGGAGCGCCTGCGTCAGAAGAACGAAGTGACCTTGAGCATCCCCGTGGACCACCCAGTGAGAAAGCTCTTCCAGAAATTCAAGCAGCAGAAGGAGATGCGGAACCAAGGCACAACCATCATTGACCCAGAGAGGAATAGCCTCCAAGTGGAGACCCGGACCATGCAGAATGGGTCCTCCATCACTGGCACAAGCGTGGTCACTGTGTCTCAGATCACACCCATCCAGACGTCTCTGTCTTACGTGAAGACCAATGAGGTCATCAAACAGAACAACAGGGATGCCATGGAGCTGAAGCCCAATGGCAACAGTGAGCAGAAATCCCTCAAGGTGACCAGTCCCGTGAGGATGAAAAACGGTAATGGGAAGGGGTGGCTTAGGCTAAAGAACACCATGGCGGGGCAGGAGGAGAAGAAGGAAGACTGGAACAATGTCACCAAAGCAGAGTCCATGGGGTTGTTGTCTGACGACCCCAAGAGCGGTGACTCGGATAATGGCGTAACTAAAAACCCACTGCGGAAAACGGACTCTTGTGACAGTGGGATCACAAAAAGTGACCTTCGTTTGGACAAAGCTGGCGAGAACCGGAGCCCCCTGGAGCACAGCCCCAGCCAAGCGGATGCAAAACACCCCTTTTACCCCATCCCCGAACAGGCCTTACAAACTACCCTCCAGGAGGTCAAACATGAACTCAAGGAAGATATTCAGCTGCTAAGCAGCAGGATGGCTGTCCTGGAGAAGCAGGTGGCCGAGATCTTAAAGATACTGTCTGAAAAGAGCACCCCACCGACACCTTCTCCCAAATCCCATTTGCCCCCTAAGCTGCCGTCCCAAATACCTTGTCAGGATATTTTTAGCGTTTCGAGGCCCGACTCACCTGAATCAGAAAAAGATGAGATCCACTTTTAATAGATATGCCTATTTCTCTTTCTGTACTCTGCGTTGTCTCCGACTAAGTTGGAGTAGGTCCATTAGACTGAATGGGCTTAAGTTGGTCACGCCCATGCATTTCAATGGGTCCTCTCTGGATATGACCAACATTGGATACAACTATACGGGTATGCTGTGAAATGAGCAGGCACACACAGAGAGAGACATACACACATGTATATATAACGTACCAGAACAGGTGTATATGTTCATGTGTGTGTGCATATGTGTGTGTGTGTGTGTGTATATATATATATATATTGACTAAATAATATATATATATATATATAATATATATATAAAAACATATATTTTCACTTGCATTCGATATGACTTGAACACACACACAAAAATGGATTTTGATATGTAAATATTGCATGTCCAGCTGGATTCTGGCCTGCCAAAGAAAACAGTTATTAACATAGATATTGCTTGTATAATATGCAGTTGACTGCATGCACACTTTCAATTTATTTATAATCTCTATTATAAAATAAAAGGATGAATTTTGTTTTAAAAAAAACAAGCAACGAAGGCGACAGTGTGCTATTTAAAGAATCACGGACCAGTTTGCCAGTAAATAAATTGAACATACTATTTCAAGTGTGGGGAACATGGGTGTAGCCAGAGGGGCAGGGGGCAGCTGCCTCCCCAATCAATCCAATAAAAAAAAAATACTAAATTCTAAAAGTAGAAATTGTAGAAAGATTTCGACAGATTTTTCTGAGCACTTGGGGTCAAAAGTAATTTAAAACGACTGTTGTTGAGGCATTTCATTCTGAATCTGCTAGACAGAGCCAGATGGAAGACGGTGACAGGTGGGTGTCCTGACCCCCCCCCCCAAAAAAATATAAATCCTGGCTACGCCCATGGTGGGGAAACATTTCAGGCTCTACCATCTAATAACATACTAATTTATGGAATGGTATAGGATGTCAAAAGGAGGCCACAAACAATCCCTGGATTCTGTCTCTTTGTCACACTCTTGGACCAAGAACCTGAAAAGGGCTGGGGGACAGAACTAAGCAGATATGTCAGTGGTTGCTCTTTACACTGTATGGTACTAGGTAAATGGCCAGTATCACCCTTCCTCAACCTGGTGTCTTCCAGTTGTTTTTGTGCTCCCTGATCATTGGCTCTTGTTGGCAGGGGCTGATGGGAGTTGCAAGGCATCTGGAGGCTACTGGGATGGGAAAGGGTGATCTCCAACTCTGAGCTACATTCAGGAGGTGCAAGTGCTCCAGAAACCACCATCAAGGATTCCTACATATATTAGCCACCCCTCTCTTAAAGTATTAGAAATATTTACGGCAGATGAGACCAATTGTGGGTCCAATGGTCAAGAAGGCGGTTTCTGCCCGTGCTGTAGAGGGACGTGAGGGGAAGATGGGGCTCATCAGCCCACCAAGGAGAAGGAAAACTCTCATCCTAAACCTCTGCTGCCTTGCGGGTTATACTCATTCATGAGGTAGTTTATTGGGAGTAAACCCTGAGGGGGAAATCTACCCTTGTGGGATGTCTTCAGGAGAAGAGAAGAAAAGTACTAAGGAGCGAACTGTACACAAATCTGCAGTAGAGTCCCTCAGACAGTTGGATAACGCCTTGTACGCCTCCTTCCGGCAACTCCTTCAGCCAAGCTGGTGGCAAACATATCGCTCGGCTTTCCTTTCCTCAGTGAGGCTGAGAGTGGGAGTTTGTTGTCTTCATACACATTATCTCCTCCCTGCACCCACCATAAATCTCCTCTAGAAGGTTGAGAGGGAACACAGAAGTATGGGGGGGGGTGACAGGGAGAGAAGAAGAGGGCAGGGAAGTTCCATTGATTGATTGATTGATTGATTGATTGATTGATTTTACTTATATGCTGCTTTCCCACGACGAGCTGTGCCCAAAATGGCTTACAGCAACCATTTAAAACATCAGGACGTCAAAGTGGAGGACGCTGGAAATACAAATATACAAATTGCATAACATGTCAGTAGGTTCAAAAGAACAAAAACCAACAATTTAGAAAGCACAGAACAACATAAACAAACAAACAAATGTATTATTTGTATCCCATCCATTTGACTGGGTTGCCCCAGCCATTGAATAGCACCCAAGAACCAGTTAGGCTTATGTACATACCGTATTTTTCGCTCTATAGGACTCACTTTTCCCCCTCCAAAAATTAAGGGGAAATATGTGTGTGTCCTATGGAGCGAATGCAGGCTCCTTGGCTTCAGCGATAGCAACGCGAAGCCTCCAAAGCACAGAGGGAGCACTCCCTCCATGCTCCGGAGGCTTTGCGCTGCTTTCGCTGAAGCCTCTTGCTCTCCAGGCTTCAGGGATAGCCGCCTGGAGCCTCAGGAGCGCAGCGGGAACTCGCGCTGCACTCCGGAGGCTTCGGGTTCCTTTTGCTGAAGCCGGGAGAGCAAGACTCTCCTAGCTTCAGCAGAGATGGAGAGCTGCGCAGCGCCCCTTCAACCAAGCGGGAGGAGAAATGGAAGGGGCTCCGTTTCTCCTGCCGCTTCGCTAAAGGGGCGCTGAGCAGAGAGGGGGAGATTTTTTTTTTCTTGTTCTCCCCCTCTAAAATAAGGTGCATCCTATGGTTGGGTGCCTCCTATAGAGCGAAAAATACGGTAAATACAGAGCAAAAACAAAAGTAAAGATTCTGCTGTTGGTCTTGCTCCACTCCTCCCAGGAGACTGGCTTAAATACAGTTCGGGGGGGGGGGGTTGATGGTATGATGGTATATAGCTGGCTCCCCCATCTTTCTCTTCCAAAGGAGGCTGACAGCATCGAAAGGCAAAAGTGTTGTGGTGACCAGTGATGGCAACTACCAACTGCTGGTGCAGGTCTTGCTTCACTTCAAAGCCATCTCAGCTAAAACTCCTTGCACTGGCAGAACTGTTTACCCGAAAACCACGGGTGGTATTCATTTACTATCATTTATTCATCTGCAAACTTGGTGGATAAGGATAGAAGTAGCGAAAAATCAATGCTGACAATGTTCTCTGCATTCTGCATTCTTTTTCTGATCTTTGGTAGACAACAGGAAAAACAACAACAAGCCGTCCATGCGGACATTTCTATCTATGCATGCATGCGTGTGTGAGAGAGAAACACACACCCCAGGATGCCCAGTACACCTTTTAGGGGGTTTTAACAGTTCTCAAAATCATGGCGTGGATGTGTGGGTATTGCCCATCAAATCTATTTATGCTGCATCATTAAAAAAACAACAACAACATTGGAGGAAGGGAAATATTTGTGATGCAAACTGCCTTCCACATGCACTGGGTTGGATACAGCCTACTTAGAGTCACATCTATGGCTCAGCTCAAGTATCTACCTACCTACCTAATATCATTATAACACACCTTTTCCTCCAAATAACTCCTGCTGGTATTAGGGATGTAGAAAGGTATCATTTTCCACTCCATCCTGTATTTGTTGCATGCAGATCATATTTTCTGACCGTACAAAGCACTGTGCTTTGTTCCAGGGCTATAAAAATGCCTTTCTCTCTTATTGTGATCGGAGGACCAAAATGGCCTATCTTTTGGAAAAGGTAAGTTTCTATAGGGGGTGAGTGGGGCAGCGTGGCACCCATGGGTGCCTGCTTGCCCACCAATACCTCCAATGGTGCCCACGGATGGTCTCAGTAAATATTGCCCAAAGAACCTACAACGCATGAGATACTGTCCTATAGGCAACACAACACATATAGGCTTCTGCCAAAATAGGCTGCATACCTTCTATAAAACCACTTCTCACTTTTGCACAAACCACTTGAAAATCCCTGTTCTGCAAATCAACGCACATATGTCATTCGTGTTTTCATAGCTTTCCCTCCTTCAGTTCTTGCATCATTGTCAAAGCCAGCATCATATTATAAAAAGGATGAGAACTTGGATGATGGGAAGTGTGGTTCCAAACATCTGGAGCCACTGGGTTGGAGATGGCTGTTATAGGTCAGGATTGAACCAACTGATGGATAAACAGGCCTGGGGGGAAATGTTGTATCTGGCCCCTGACAGCTATACCAAATTTCAATCCAGGTATCGTAAAATATGTATTCAATGTTTCCTGGTGAATGTAAACTTTAAAAAGTTAAGAGCAGAGATGTTCTATAATTTGACGTTGCTTCTCTCATTGGGGTGTTACATTAACATTATATCTAAGCCCATATGTTCCAAAGAACCATGAAGCTCTGAATGCTAGATGCCATTAATGGTGCCTAAATATTCATGTGATGATTCATTCATGTAGCAAAATGCATTTCTAGCTTCCGGAGAGACTCTGTTTGGAGAACAGGGAGGACCTCCCGAGACCAATTATTCGTGGCATATCTTGTTTTGAGCATTTTTCAACCTTCGTTCAGATTTCGAATTGAGTTCCTGCCCCAGAAAGGTGCAAAATAAGACAGACAGACAGACAGACAGACAGACAGACAGACAGACAGACATGGATATCTGTTCATTGGTTCTGGATCTGCACAGAATGAGAACTGAAAAACTATTAGTAGGACCTGTCACAAAATGTTGCAGCACGGAATACTCCTTTTCAGAATTCCAACCAACCATACCCAGTTTCAGAACACTCCATTCCATTCCTCCTTCACATTTGCTTTCTCGTCTCCCGGACCACCTCCAAAGGCCAGCCAGAATTCTATGGGCACAGAATAGGCTCAGTCATCATTCCACTATTTGGCGGCGGGGGAAGTGGTAGTGTCTGCATTAGGGTGTTTTTATCCTAAATACTGGGACGCGAGTGGCACTGTGGGTTAAACCACAGAGCCTAGGACTTGCTGATCAGAAGGTCGGTGGTTCGAATCCCCACGACGGGGTGAGCTCCCGTTGCTCGGTCCCTGCTCCTGCCAACCTAGCAGTTCGAAAGCACGTCAAAGTGCAAGTAGATAAATAGGTACTGCTCCGGCGGGAAGGTAAACGGCGTTTCCGTGCGCTGCTCTGGTTCGCCAGAAGCGGCTTAGTCAT